GTTAATTCTAGTTAAATTTGTGTTCCAGTAACTGAGAATTTTATATAATATTAATTTTTGATACTGATCTCTAGTGCTCGGTTTTTTTACTACACATTTCAAATATACTAAGAAATTTGAAAATTTAGAAGTAGTTCATCTCAAATTATGAATGCTTTTGGTGTCGAAAAAATGTGTCAAATATTTTATATTATTTGTTCTGAAAATTATCATTAAGTCATAAAATTGTAATTATTATAAAGTTATGATTATTAAATGCCTGACACTCTTAATTTTCACCACTTGTGGTAGAGGAATTTCGGTTACTTACTTTGCCCCTGGTTTTCTGAACTTTAATTTGTTGATAAATCTCAACTAAATGATTAAATTCAGAAAGATTGTTATTTCTTACAGTTCTCGAATTTAAAATAGCAGTAATTTTTTATTTTTACGTTTTTTCCAGGACTGATTTTGGTCGAATCACATAGATGTCTAATCCAGAGCATTCCAACTCAATTCTTAGTAATGATACCCTTTGTACCTGTAGTTTTAATAGCAGTATTGAATGTAGTGACAGTAAGAATGCAAGAAATCGGATGCAATACCTTTCACTTGTGCCGCTTTTACGGAAGGTAAATTGTTACATTTGTTATTTTTTTTCTACATAAAAAAATTTGCATTACTACAAAGGAATCAATACACACAAGCTACACATTGATTTCATATTTTCCCCTTTGATAAATTTTGTTATAAAAGAACTTAATTGCATTGTTTTTGGATTAGATTCGTATTCAATTACATTTTATCAGTATTATTCATATTTACAATGCGTAATATAACAGTATGATATAAATTAGTCTAGAAAGAAACGTATGACTCGTAATTAATTCGAAAGTAATTCCTAAGCATTTTGTTTTGAAGTGCATATTCCTTTTATCATGTAAAAAGTCGTTCTCGATGGAACTTAACATTTAAAATGGCTAATGACACACACACCATTCCATCATATGATCTTGTCTAAATTTTTATCTGTATTAGATTTAAACTTTTTAGTTTTAGTTAAAAGTTATTGCTTAAGTATAAAGTATATTGCAGGAATCCTTAAGTGGTAGACATCATCAGAAGCGAAAATCATCACTTTTGGATGAAACATTCGAAAAGAAAAAGCCAGCATTAAGGTAAGTAAACTTGAGAGTTTGTATTGAATTTAGAGTTTTTTAATTGACTAGATTTGCAGATTTGATGTTTCACTATTTTTGCATCTTTAAGTTTCTAATCGTTGGCTAAATTAACTATATGAAATTAACAAGATGTTTTTGATTATGTTTCGCTGATTTTTCGTATGTTGTATGTTTTGCTGTCTTTTATGTTTCGTATTTATTGGTTTACACCAATAAAATCTTTTCTTTCTAAATTTCATCTAATATGAATGCTGCATTTTTTTTCCGTTCAGAAGCTGTCAGAATAGTAACACTAGTTATAATATAATCCCGTTTTGAAAAAAAATTTCAGTTTGTAATTTTACGAGTTTTTAAACCTTAGGTTAGCTTGAATATCATGGAGATATCGTGAGTTATTTTTTGGCATAATATTTATCCGTCTAAAAAAGCTCAGATTTCGGTCTGGCATTTTTTTGGTAAATGCTATGTCGGAAATATATGTAAAGTTATCGCTTATTGCTTGCAAGTATTTAGATAAATATCGTAAGCTTTAACTAAGAAATGTAAATCAGATGCAGATGTTAGAAGGACAGTGTCAATCATGGGATGATTTAAGGTTTGTCAGCTTGCAGTAGCCAGCATTAGTTTCATTACTTGCTTTGATTGCTTACTTTGAAGGATATTATTCATTTCTTGTTTTTAAATTCATTTCTTAGGATTAATATTAAGTCCTTAGATTGGCAGTATTCATGAAAATTAAGAGTGGATAGGGTACTTTGTGATAGTGGATAGCTTTCCTCAGCTTTTAATTAATAACATTTATTCATTTTTTAGGATCAAAATCATGTACTTGGTTTGGAAGTATATAATATACAAATGATTTTTAGCAATCAGTTGATTATCATATTTCATTATTATATTGAACAGTTCTTGACTTTATGTCAGTTTTTCGTGTAGTTCTAAAAAAGTAGACTTCAATTCTTTCTTCTTACTAAATTTATATATGAGCGACAGCTTTTGAAAGTGGTATGGTATAGAGATGAAAGAAATGATAGTGATTAGTAACTGCTATCTCTTGCACTGTTTGGCTGCTTATTCAGTTACATACTTGTATCTTTCTTCAACATTTTTGCTCAGGTTTTCCATTTAAATAACAAGGCTTAATTGAACTTAAGAAAGAATTATTGGTGGGGAATCATTTTCACGAGTTCTAAAATATCCAGCTATATTTGCTTGTCTCATTTGGTCGTTAGTTACTGATTACTGGAAATGAATGAGAGTGTTAAAATAGTGATAAAATTGAGCTAACTCAAAGACATATTCGCAAAGGAACTTCTCTTACATTTTTACCAAATACCTGTGAATGGATTGCAATATTGTTTAGATATTATTAAAAGTAATTTTTCAAATTAAACAAACTCTCTAAGGTAACGTAGGCGTTATTTGCGCAGTTGGTATACTCATGTATTCAAATATTTAGAAACCAAGTGGCCGAATATCCCATCAGAATAGCTTTTGACATGATTTATTTGCGGTATTGCTAGTGAATATCGGTACGCACCTTGAGCAATTAGTGTTTAATACATTCTAGAAAACAAGTTTCGAGACTTGATTTTAAAGTTTTCATAGCTGTTTTAAGGATTACTCGTATTTATCTGACTTTACTGACTCGCATTAGAGGTAGTTCTTGATTGAAAGTTGGCTTTTCTCTTTCACAAATAAAGATTATTTCGTACTGCTCAAAAATATATCTGTGAAAGGAAGTATATTTCTCTATTCTGTTCTTAGTTTTACTTTTTGAAGAATATGACAAATTGATTCTGTAATTAACATTTTTCGTTCTCAACGCGAAGTAATTTTTTATTTATAAGAACTAGTTTGTTTCGGTGCTCTATGGGATCATGCTTGATTTGAATCCACTCTATATGAAGATGGGATTCTGGTTTATATGACTTTGAAATTTAGTAAATAAAAAATGAGTATGATTCGTCAATTGAATGGTGCCGTTAATAATTGTAGAGCTTTTTAAGTGAATTATTGGTGGATAGCATACTACAGAATGTGATGACTTTATGAGGGAATTACGATGGGAAATAATATATCGACATTTCTGCTATTACTGGATAAATGTTTCTACTATTTAATTCAAAGCCGTGCTAAGCAAAAGATTATATAATTTTATTGCCAGCTAATCTCTTACATATCATCATTAAAGCTGCGCAGAAGACTTCGCTGTTGCTACTTTCGTATTTTTAGCTACTTGACACTCATCGTAACCACCAAATTGGAATACCTAGAATATCGTTATTTACGCGGATGGAAGCTTTTGTGGAGATTGCCTTGTTTTTAGTGATCTCTAACTTTTCATGATTCTTTGTATCACAAAATATGAAAACATTATTGTCTGAGCTTCTCTAGTAATTTTCAGTGATTTTTTTTTGCATTTGAAAAAAAAATCGTCTTTTGTATTGAAATCAGTTTGAGGACAAAACCTGTTTTATGATGCTGTTGCTATTTTGAACGTTAATGCTGCGTTCGCTTGAGAAGGCAATATTGTTTGTTCATTTTGTGTACGTGTCAACTAGGTGAGAATATTGAGGTTGCTGCAAAATATCTTTGTTACAAATTTATTTCATAGTATCTCAATCAAGTTGATAAGCAGTTGCAAAAATGTTGCTGTAAATTATCAAAACTTCATTTTAAAAATTTTTGAACCTTTTTTTTAAACTGATCAAATGTTGAAGCAGTTTTTGATACCATTTTTACGCTATATTAGTTCCGATTCACTGTTAATTTCTTGCATTGTAATTAGCTTTAAATAGTTAAGGAAAAGAAATCTTTAATAGCATGAAGATTTCGTTTTTTTTTTCACTATTGAACTAATTTTTTCATGATTAATGAAAAGTTAGAAATCTCCTAGTGCATAAAGGGAATTTGAACTTAAAGATAAAAATTTAGAAATGAGTAAAAAACCAATGATATTGAGCACAAAAGAATAAGGACGTAACTGTTTGGTTACTTTTTCGAATTTTTATCGGATAACAAACTGTATCGTCTACATATTCCCAAATAAAACTGATGAAATTGTCGGACAAAGGAACGTCGAATTCAATACAAAGAATGTATGAACTACATTTTTTTTCTGGGATTATTTGATGTCTTAGGAAATATGTGAAGCATTTCAGCTCTCCTAATGTTTAATAGGGTTTTCAGCCATGATTTTTTCCAGCTTAGCGGTGGAGCATAGTGATTTTGATCATGAACATCGTGATGATTTGCGTTCATTCACGACAGACGAAGTGATGCTGATAGCTGATTGTAAAAGTTTACCAGAAAAATATAAATTACTGGAAGATATGGGTAAGTTTTTGCTTAATTAATTTTGTATTGCTTCTGTTAATAATTTTGAAAATACTTTTGCGCTGATACTTTTTTCAAAAAGAAGTTATTTGTACAGAAAAAAAGAAATACATGCAACGATGTCAAGATTATATTAATGAGGGATCTTACGATCAATTTCGTTCACATGCCAATTTGATTCTTAATCGTTTTCTTACTGCTGACTCAGTAGAAAATAATAAAGAAGAGAAAGATGTTGAACTTGAGAAAGAATTCGGATCTGAATATGGAATTGACATTAATGAAAGTGTGTTCAGTTGGATCCAACATTTCAAGGTAGTTTTCAAGCTAAGAGTTCAAAATAAGTCACGAAATATTCGATGTTGTGGAAGCCAGTTTTTACTGAATTATGTTATCATTGCAACTTGAGATTACTTGTGTAGTCCTTATCGTCCAATAAACACAAGGAATATTATCTCTAAATACATAGTAATTATAAAAAATAAGTAATTTGAACGTAAAATGTACAAACTAGGAGGTTGCAGCAAAAAGAGCTGTCCCGAATATTTCGTGCAAACAAATAGTTATTTTTTATTTGTCAGGATAATTTTAAATGAATATTTTGATCATAGGAAATTTCAGTTACTTTGTGCTGTGGAACAAATTGATGCCCTTTCTACTTTGGTGAATGAATGTTCATTAGATCAGATTAAACATTTACGTTCTTTAATCGAACCTTTTTTTAAGAAAGATTTCATAAGGGAATTACCGAAAGAGGTCAGTTTACATAGTTATTTTTAGACATTGAATTATTTTCAGTGAACGTAGTTGAGTTGTGTGATTCTGTAGCATGTCTACAGTCTTGTTTTTCAGCTATTTTTAATGAATATTTAATTTTTTTCAGTGTAGTAGGTGTCAAGGATTTGAGTGTACTTTTATGATAAATATATACAACGTTATTAAGAAAATTCTATGTAAGAAACTTGAACGAAATATATTTCAGATCGCATTGTATATAATGAGTTTTTTGTCTCCTTCTGATATTACTCGCATGTCGTTGACTTGTCGATACTGGCGCAGTTTAGCTGAAAACAATCGATTGTGGAAACAGAAATGTGCAGAAGCAAATGTAATTCCACTAGATGAGCCCAGGTAAGCAGTGAATTTATCTACAAAACGTTTTGAATGGATTTAAGTGCAGGCAATCAGTAGCAATATTATTTCAAACTTTCATGATTGTTATATTTCTACAGTGATCGAAAAGGTGGTGCATGGGCAGAGACAGCATCGACAAGCGGTATTGAAATAGTCGGTTATCGTCCTGTTTCTAGTTATCACCTTGCTTTATTTACAGATTGTAATCCACGCAAGATTAGGTAGATATTTTCATTTTATTGGATACCGTAATTTATTGCTTAATTTTACCACAATTTTACCGCAGTTTTTTTCATCGAAATTTTCTCAGCTGTATTAAGAAAAATTTATCTCTTTTGTCAACTTCGAGACAAGTTGAGTGTGTTCTCGGAATTCTTAAATGCCTTCATTCAGATCAACGAGCAAACTGCACGTTGTTTTTCAGTCGGTATTGTTTATTAGCAAAATCAATAATAGAGAATAGTGCTTATGGTTAAATTTATTGTGCAGTCTTGGTTTTACTCTAAATACTGTGTTTATTGCTCTTGCAGTTCTAACCAGCTTCTGTGAGAACAATATTATCAAACTTTTAACAATAAAAATTTTACAGGTTTCATTCAGAATTCAGTGATTCATCAAACAGTGTTGGTTGTGAAAGGTTAAAACTTCTTATTTTTGAAATTAATGAAATAAAAGTTTATCTAATTGAAAAAATAATTTTTTTCAACTATGCAGGTAAAAAAATATATTTGTTCAGTTTATCTACTAAACAAGTATTATTTTTTTTTGCGATTTTTTTCAGCACTGGCAGAAAAATAAATTTATAAATTCAGGTCAAAGTGGAAGGCAGTTTACTTGCGGCATCGGCGTATCTTAGCTAATTGGCGTTATCGCCCACTCAGTGGATCTTGCATCTTAAAGGGTCACGATGAACATGTGATAACATGTTTACAAATTCGCGGTGACATAATCGTAACCGGTTCAGATGATAATACACTAAAGATATGGTCGGCTAGTAAAGCTACTGTAAGTTTCCTTCAAAATTTGTTTACGAATGATCGGCTTTATTAAACAGTAAACGGAGTTTTTAATGATAAATAGTACCTTTTTCAAATAGTATGAATTTCAGAGCGGTTTTATTTTTGCTTTGTTCGATAACTACAGTTCAATAACTATAGAAGTACTTGATAACTCGTAAAATGAAAATAAAACTTAGTGCGTAAGCCGATGGCTATGTATTTGCAACATATGTTACAGTGTTTGCAAACATTAGTTGGTCATACTGGAGGCGTGTGGTCGTCACAAATGTCAGAAGATGGTAAAGTAGTGACTAGTGGCTCCACTGATAGAACAGTGCGTGTGTGGTGTGCAGAAACAGGACGATGTTTGCATTGTTTGCAAGGTCATACTAGTACAGTCCGTTGTATGGCACTGAAAGAGAATTTGTAAGTTTAGGTTTTAGAAGTAGTAGTAGTAAATTGGGTATACTTCATCGTTAGAAACACCAGATTCAAAATTCATAGTTATAATTAAAAATTTGGAAGCATGCTAGTGGTTCGAAACATGTTAGTCAAAAAATTTGAAAATGTACAATTTTACGGTTTCAATCTTTCAAATTATTTACTTCATTTCTATCATCGGAGTCTTATTTTTCTTTGCATCTATTCACTCGTGATTGGTGAATGGTCTCATCTTCTTTTTGTGCTTGTTATTGCTTTTTGACTGGTTTAATAATTAATTGATCCAGATCAGTAAGTTTTCAAGTCATTTTTTTAGTGTAAAAATTTAATGCAAGGATGTTTCATAAGGAAAATTATCTTGACTGTTATCTTATTTGCTTACTGTCACTATTTTGCAGTACTTGGAATTTTTGAAATTGTAGTAGTATTCGGCTTTTCGAATAGTAATTTATTTTTAAATGCTTACTGAATCAGCTGAGCACTAAATTTGAAAAAAAGAATGGGAATAAAAATTTCAAAATATATCGGTCAAGCTTTTATAGCTTCAATAAAAAAATTTTTTGATCACTTTCATTGCACAGAAGAGTTACTATTCGAAAAAATCTGAAAGAAAAATTTAGCTTTTGCTGTTTTACGCTGATAATGTATATCGTATAAGAATATTTGCCTAAGACATTTTTAGACTTGCTACTGGATCTCGTGATACAACAGTCCGTGTGTGGAACATAAAAGAGGGAACTTGCAAACGCATTCTTGAAGGTCATGTAGCAGCTGTTCGTTGTGTACAATTTGATGGTGTGCGTATTGTTTCCGGGGCATATGACTTTTCAATCAAGGTAACTATTTTTTCAAGAAGAAATTCTTAAACTTCTCATTTTTTTTGTCGCTGTAGTGTAAAGAAACATTTAGTCTATGAGTGTACTTTTTTTGGGTGTCTTGTTCGATTTGTCTTTTAACAACTTTTTATGACTGAAACTTTAAGCGATTCTTTCAGTGCAATACTATCGAAAATAGTTATTGGATTAGTTTGAAAATTTTTGGTGTTATAAAAACTAAAACATATTTTAGAGTATTCGGATCATCTAAATCATTATCAAAATAAATTTCTGTTTATAGTGGGACGTATATTTAAGGTCTGGAATGCTGAATCTGGCGAATGCTTGCACACTTTAACCGGTCACAGCAATCGAGTTTATTCATTGTTAGTAAGTAATTTTCAACTCTCTGAATCCATATTGGTATTTGTTGCCAACATTTTCTGCTTGAAGCCTTATCATTTTCGTTGGATCTCGAGCTTTGAAATTTATGTGTCCTTGTGCCAAATTTTTTACTGCTTCATGATTAAATTGGTAGTACGTTTCATAATATCTTGTTTTGAAGACATAACCTTTGCCAAAAAAATATTTTTGTGTTAATAATGACGATCATGAATTTTAAAACTCAGCACCAATCAAAGTCTAAAAAATGTCATTGTATATTTTTTAGTTCGATAGTGAAAGAGATATAGTTGTTAGTGGTAGTTTGGATACAACTATCAAAGTATGGAATATTCGCGAAGGAGTATGTGTACATACTTTAATTGGTCATCAGTCTTTAACGTCAGGCATGCAGTTAAGAGGCAGTACACTTGTTTCTGGAAATGCTGATAGCACAATTAGGGTCTCTTTTTCTTAATCTGAATTAAAATCGACTTTTGAATTCTATTGCACCGTATTGTTTTCAGTCTTTTCTATTTTTTTTTGTGAAACATTTTTCCAATCTTAAAAAATTTATTCTAGATATGGGATATTTCGGATGGGCAATGCAAATATACTTTATCCGGTTCAAACAGACATGCTTCTGCTGTGACCAGTTTGGTGTTTCTTGAGAACGGTTTAGTTGCTACAAGTAGTGATGATGGTTCTGTCAAGCTGTGGGATATAAAACACGGTAAGAGTTCATTGCGTTGGAGCGTTAATTCAATGTTGATGAAACATAGAATCGAGCAGTAGTATGTTTCTTAATATTGTCTTAGGTGTCTTTGTGCGTGATCTAGTTCGGCTTCGGTCTGGTGGTTCTGGTGGATGTATTTGGCGTTTAAAGGCGACACCGACAATGTTAGTGTGTGCGGTAGGCTCACGTAATGGTACCGAGGATACAAAACTCATATTATTAGATTTTGATGCGGATTATCCATAGTGCCATCAAATAAGAATACTTTTTCATTAAAGTTAAAAATCATTCATTTCGAAATGATTCTGTGCGCTCATTCATAATATCTTGATTTGTTATTTTTCTGTCGTAATGGATTATCTCACATTTTCAACTGGCAAAAAATATACATATTTCATCTCAAAAATTATTCGTATTTACCAGTCATTCATTCAAGTGCAAGCAAACATTCCATGTATTTGCGCTACTCTTTACCAACACATAAGTGTGAATTCTTTCATTTATACCTTATCTGTAATGTAATTTCTGGAAAAAGCCTCTTTTCAACCATGTTTTTCTTATTCTACTTTTTTATGTTCTTCGGTTTTTCTGTTCTTTATATATGTGTAAAATTACAAAAGGAATTTAATGACTTGATAATCAGTATACTAATTAGGAATCCGTGACTTATTCGTGATAAATCCCATATCATTTGTATGGAATGAAGTGAAGAGTAGTAATTTAAGATCACTTTCAACAGTCTTTCATATCTCTTCGTACTTTCTTTTTTATCTTACCTTTCATATTTATACATTGCTTTCCTTCTGTTCTTCATAGCAGGATACATATGTTTTCTGTGTGTATGAGGCTATCTGTATTAGCATTCAGAAACAAATGGTTTGAGTGATGTGATGTCATTGATGAGATAAACTTTGAATCTCATTTGTTACAAGCGCACTGTTGCGGGTTGTGACAGTCTGGCAGCTAGCGTGTCTCATTAGGTCGTTATAGATGTAGTAGTATGGGCAAAATTTGATATAATTGTGTTGGTACTCTTTAACGAAAGCAGTCCTTTTGTGAATTATACATGTGTGGATTGCTTTTGGGTAAGTGGTCTATAGCTGCTGGTATATGAAAGGCCAAAGCTAGTAGTCTGCAATTGGTTATGTGCACTTGGTATACATAAAAAGAGGTCCACAAGTTATATTCTGTAAGGCATACTCGAAAGATGTGAAAAATTTTTGATTCCTTGCATTCACTTATCCTCAAATTTCGGAATTTGCAAGTAAATCGAGATGGAAGCCAGATCACGTATTAGTCACCTGATAATTGCTCTTTCCCTTGGTTTAATCTGTACTACCCATGCAAGTGTTAACGCTAACTTATGTGACGTGGGTTGTGAAATTGATCAATAATCAATATTGAGTATCAATATTCTGACTGAAAAATTTAAGACTGGTTCAAAGATTGAAGTCAATATTTGAGAGGTAGAGTTTCATTTTCGTTGACTACTAGTGAGCTGCAGTAGATGTATTGAGGGGCGCTTTTTTGCTCTATTGAAAATTCGCTCGAAATATTCGGCGCCCAAAATTTCCAGTAATGTGAGAAGAGATTTGACTTTCCTTTCGATGTTTTGCAATGCTTCCGGTATTCCATGAGTCTTGGAAAAACTTCTATGATCCAGTACATGGTTGGCATGATGGATTAGATAACTGAACAATGGCTGACAAAATATCACTTTTGATAACATTCAGCGCTGAATTTTTTGCGCATTTCCTAATAATTGTTAATAAGTTATTTAAATATCAAAAAAATCAAAACTGCAGATTATCCGCTTTAGAACATAGTTACGTCATTACCACCGCAAGATATTCATTTATTTGTTATTGTTTTAGATATAGTCGCGAATGGCTTCTGTGTTATTTTATTTCCATCTACATTAATCTCATTATTATTTTAGCCAAATAACATGACTAACCTACTTTACTTTTATTAATTACTTATTGGAGCTACTCACATCATGAATCCGGTTAGTTATAATTATATTCTCTTTTATTTTATTTTTATTTTTTTTGCTAAAAATTGTGCATATTATCTTTATCCGTGCTAGAAATAATGCATAAGTACAGTGTAGAAATAATGATGCATAAGAATATGATGAAAACATATTTTCACTACTCAATATTCGTAATTTATGGACTTATTTTGAGAAGAAATTTTCGTTTATTTTTCAGGGCTCACGTAAGTCGTATCGAGATACAAATACGTGGAAAAATAGTGGCAACCGGAATTTCACTAAAGTTTTGCAAGTACTATCAGATGATTTTGTCAATGACATTACTGATGGTAGTAATGCTGTTACAGCGTTACCTGCTAGCCAACAGTGTATTGATCGTAATGTTACAGAAATGCAACAATCTGTTTCGGTATTATTCATAATCTGGCAGTTGTTAAATTTGTGCAAAATTTTTTCTGCTCGGGAATAATTTTTTTTAGCATATCAAACTATTATCCACTCATGTCCATCAAGCGATTTTTCCTAACAAATGCTTTAATGTATCCAACGACACCATTTATCGTCGTCCACTCTCGGATTGCAAAAATACTTCGTAAGCACAAATTGCATCAATTTTTCCTCTTTAAGAAACATATTTCATTCTTTTACGAAATATTTCTATCACTACATGTATGATTTCTGAAAGAAAATCCTTTTTCTATACCGTATGTGAGTAAAAGCCATTCATTTCATGACATATTTTTGTTTTAGACTAATTACTGAATGCGGTTTGTTCAGCATACAAATTTTAAAATTTACCAAACACAATATTTTCTTGATATTTAAGTTATGCTTCAGTATATAAAGAAGAATCTTTACAGAACAATTACGACATGGTTTCGTCCTAAAAAGTCTCATATTCCATCATGTCATTCACCGGAAAATAAAATCACGGGTACTTCATCATGCTCAGGGAATTCTGACTTGGCAGGTAACTTTACTAATAGATAAAAGTGGTGATCAGGCGAAATTCACATTGTAATTCTAGGCATGGAAGAAAATTATTCCCCAAATATGGAAACATCAAGTAATGTACACATAAATGCTTTGGATAAATTACTCGTTCCTTGTAATTCTGTGATTGGTAGTCAATGTTTGAAACGGCGTTCTGCTGTCAAAAGACCACTTCTATGCAATAAAATCGTTCACCCACCAGAGAAAGATAATACAGCCAAAATTTATCATTTTCTTCCGGTTACTCGGTTGGTATTGTGTATTTATTGTTTATTAATTAGAATAAGCTGTTGTATCACTGCAAACGATTTTATTATATTTTATTTACGTCTATAAGTAGCAGCACAAGCAGTAAGTCCAGCGTAAAGGACAATTTCCAAAAAAAAATTTACTACTCAAAATACTATTTTTTCTGAACTTAGATCAGCATCTGCTCTAAAAGCTGTGGAGTCTCCTGCTAGAAAACGCTACAAGATGGATGATATTGGTAATGCAAATAAAGATTCGAAAAGAATTAAAATATCGGAAAGAACGACTTACGAGGCATGGAATACTGATCACTTTTCTGCGGATAAAAGTAAATCGGTTATACAGTGCCCCATGGAAACTGACGTAATTTTTATGAATGTTTTAATATTATTTTAGTTAAAAGATGAGTTCCATAGTTTAATGACAGTCTTTTTATCATGATTTGTTTTCACCTCAAGAAGTTATGTAATTTTTAAAATAAGATACTATTTTTAATTTTTCTTATCTGGGAAACTAATCATTAATTCTGCAGGATGAGATGGAGGATGAGAGTGAAAATTCATCGCTTGTTTCAAGTCTTAGTTCCCCATTTCGCAGTCAGTTAAATTTATCAGATTCTGAAACTCATGATTCTTCATCACTTCCAGATATTCTTCGAGTTGTATGTTGATTTAGTATCATAAAATCTTGTTCATGTATAACTATTTTTGGTAAGATTTAGTCGAGGAACCCATCGGTTGTTTTATGAAAGTAATTGCAGTGAAGTACGATATAACCTCAAATTTTTCCAATCAGTTATGATATGAAAAAAACTCTTTTTACTTTTATAGGAATTGAGAAAAAAACAGTAGTTCACTGATATAGAAAAAATAATTGAAAATAGTAGAAATAGAAAATTTTCCTCAAAATTCAAGATTAATAACTCGAAGAACTCCGAGAAGTTTAATGTAAGTCACAGAAAATTTTCAGACTTCAAAAATAAAGCTATTATTTTCAGACCTATGGGCTTAAAATAGTGGAGAATCCTCATGTTCCATCAACTGCATTTGCATCTATTAGTGCATCAACAATGGCAGATTTGCTGAGTTCGATGCCAAATGACATTTTTTTGAAACATTACATTCTTATTGATTGTCGTTATCCATTTGAATATGACGGTGGACACATTCGAGTAATTTTTTTGGAAAGAGTTTTCATTGTACTGATTGAGTTTTTGATTTTTCACTTTTTTGTTTTTACAAATGTAAATGCATCTCTCAACACATAAAAAAAAGGAAAATTCAATTCTTTTCATGTCTCACTAGTTGATAATTTAAGTATTCAGTTTATAAAACATTTCTAATAACAGAAAATCTATAAATCAGTTTGTAATCTAATTCAGAGTTCTGCATTCTCGCAGAAATCATTATAATTTGTGTTACGATCATACAGGGTGCACGTAATTTATTCGATCCGGTTAAGATTGAAGACGTATTTTATCCTCGCAATTTAAATTCACGTGAACCTTTATATTTAAGAAGACCAATTTTTTATTGCGAATTTTCGCAAAAACGAGGACCAACAATGTTTGTTGACTTTTTAAAAAGCTATGCTCAAATTGTTTTATATATTTTTAATACATGCTAAGTCGAAAAAATTATGCGTGAACTTCAGAGATACCTTTTACAGGGCTCATGATTTACGAGCTTTTGATCGTATGAGGAATTTCTCAAGATATCCATTAGTAGATTATCCGGAAATGTACTTGTTGGAATTTGGCTATAGTACTTTCTACAGAACGTATGCAGAAAATAAACCAGTTAGTTCTATATAGCTTTGGAATAAATATTATAGACAGCAGTAAAAGTATGTTTATACTGACTTTATTATTTTCGTTTATTAAGAATCAATGAGTTCTGCATGATAGTTTTCAATGTTTTGCTTCTCAAGTTTTATTCGTTCATCTATGTGTTACATATTTGTTTGTAAGGAATGTTTTTTTCTAAAAAATTGAAAAAGTCTTTTTTTAAAAGTTCTATGTTTATTGAGGATCTTTTCGAGCCAATTGGATACGTCTCGATGGTTGATGAAAAATATCAGTTAGAATTAGGGCGTTACACTTTTCATCGTATTAGATCATCTATTCTCCATACATTGGCTAAATATCGTAGAAAAAATGTACGAACGGAACACTCAAAAAATCGAAAACACGAAAATCGCAGTGGCAATCCGGAACATTCTAGAAAAATGAATCAAACAATAACCCCTTCTCCTAATGCTTTAGTGGTTTGTTTTTTCACTATTGCTTCTTCATTAGCTGATTTTAACTAATATCAAATTAATCAAGAGAGAAAGTGTCAAAAATTATGCAGTGCCTTGAACAAGTTGAATTGAATGGATTATAGGTAATAAAAATGAATTGTAGTTTTGGTCAGCTAAATTGTGAGATTTGTTGACATATCATGAAAGTTTTTCAGTAAGTTACTCACTAACTTGTGAACTAGTGAAAACTATAAATAAAAGATTCAAAAAGTCGATAACTCATTATCGTAGCACTTCAAGAGAAAGTATTGCTGCACTAAGTTTTCCATAGTAATTTACTTTTCTACGAAAATCGTGTTGTATCTAATGCTTAGTGAACTAAAGATTTAAATAAAGGTAATAGTATGTATAAATTATAAATTTTTGCAGAGCGTGGCTAGTTCACCTGATTCCCCTTCGTATTTTCCAATGCGTAAATCTTCAGCTTCTTCCAAAGAAAGCAGGATGAAATTTTGGTCTGATCGTAACTCAAAGAATGATTATGTAGAAAATGAGGAGGACAGTCCTACCACTAGTTACAAGTGAAATTTTTTGCTCATTTACTTTACTGGTCAATCAGCCGGGATGATTCATTATGGTGCTATTATATTACTGAGCTATTATAATAATGTGTAGGTTTTTGTAAGCTCTCTGTTTGCCAATTGCTCATCAGAAATTAAGATTCAGTAAAAGTTAAAATTTTTTGTTTGGTTATAATGATACTTTGACAAATTATCACGAACTTGTGCTTGGCTTTGTGCTAGTGCTATTTTTGATGAATTTTCGCATCTCGTTTCATTAATGCCTTATAATGGTCCATATTTCCTTATATCATTGCCATTTGTCTGTCATTATTTTTGCCTTTCGATTCTATGCTTATCTTGAGCTAATACGTTGTATTGAAATCTCTATTTCTAGAGTGGATCTCTTATTTACCCACTACATACGGATCTCAAATTGTTATTTTCAACCTTTCTGTGTCATTTATTTACTTCGTCAGTTGTATTTTGGCCTACCGTTTTGTCTTTTTATTTTCATCTAAAAATTCTCTTCTTTGTTCTCTTATGACAATAATTTCATTTCTTTAATTACAAAATTCTGAAATAATTTTCGAATTTCAACTTCATCGCCTGATTTTTGTCGTCTCTTTCACTATGAAACATTTCTAGCACTGACCACTGAAACTTGAAATTTAAATTGTTAGAAGATTGAAGAAATATATTACTCGTATAGCAAATAAAATTTCATTGTATGACCATCTGTCGACCATGCTACGGTCTGTTCAACATACGAAAGATATTCCGTTTGTATCTGTTAAGCGTGAAATTGTTATAAAAGTTTTTTTCAATGGAAATATAATTAAAGAGTGTGTTATCTCATATTTTCTTCTAGTGACTACGAATCGGAGAGCCTGTTATCTGATTGATTAGTGTGTGGCTTAAAATATCTACGATAGCTAAATGCTTTTGGAGTAATGTCATCTGGCCAACCGGAGTGTCTCACTTCATTAGTTTCATACGTTCCGGATTTTACTTTTGGGCAGCGAACAGATATCAGAAATCAACTTACTACTAGTACTATTCAGGTTACTGTGTGAAATTCTTGTATATTTCTGTCATAAAGTAATATTCGTATGAAAATTAGGATTTCAGGGGCAGAATCTCTTCATTCCAGAAGTGTTAGAAGTTGTCAGTGCGCGTGGTAATACTAACTGCGAGTAAGTATTAAACTTTATTGTCATGCAGTTTTGATGCATGCTTTTACTCATCTCTTCCTTTTCACGATTAGCATGATGCAAAATGTTCTTGATATTCAGGGAAGATCATCGTTATTCACTATGATTTGTGTGGCTTTCAATTCCTTGTTTATTCAAAAATTTCTACATTCCTGCGGCAGATATTTTTTTTATGTGACGATATTTCCAGACCCATTTGTGAAAGGAGTATTTCACCTCCGTTACGCTCAGCGTTGAAAAAGACCAATCTGAAAAAATTTGAAGACAACACAGAAGACATAAAAAAAGAAGAAAGCCAAAGTATTCCAAAACGTCCTCTTGACGTAGTAAAAAAAGAAGGACAATTGAAAGCATTTCCTGCCCGATTATTGCAGAAAAAGAAGACAGTTGCTTTTGGAAGAACTGTCAATTTATCGCAAACTATAGAGGTGTGTTTATCATAAATTAATGCATATTTGTGCGCATTTATATTTTAAGTTTCTCAAGCATATTTGTTTGTGTTGTTAACTGAGTATTCTTGAGATAAAAGTTTTTCAAAAATATTTGAGGGTGCTTCAAAATCACAACCGAAATTATTGATGGATAGTAGCTCTCAAAACGATAAAATTCATAAAGTGAAGCAAAACAGCAGTGAGCAGCAACTCATGAATGAAGTATGCTACATTTAAGTTGATCATTATCAAATATTTTTGAAAGCAGTTTTAGAAAACTGAAACAATTTTTATAGTTGAAAAAATTAAAAGAAGATGTGCGAACTCTGCAAATTAAAATTGATGAATTATTGGTAAAAGATTCGGAAAGAAGTGATCAGTTTTTAAGATTGACGGAAACTCTAAAGGTATGGAAACTGTTACTGCAATTAATAAATATTTTAGCATTGTAAAAGCTATGTTGAATATCAAGCCTAGAAAACTATATATTCTCACTACATTAACTGGCTTCTATTCCTATCATATTGAGAGAACTAAAATTTTATTTTTAAATCTATTTATGCGTGACACAGAATTGTTTTTTTAAGATTTCACAGCTGGTTATCATCCTCTATTGTTTTTTTGCACTATTTTGTAGAGAATGGTAGAAAATTTCACATATACTCGTATATCGCGGGATAACAGTGATAACTGCAAAATGCGAGGAAATAAAGGCAAAGAAGTGAAACGTTATTTTGAAAAAGAAAATGTGTCTCCTGGTGTATGCTATTAAAAATTTTTAAGTTATAGATAAGGCCGGCTGCTATTTTTATTATCCATAGCAGGATGAAATTCGCTCACATATAAATTCCACTTTTGTTTGAAGCATCGGAAATATGTCTGGAGCATAGAAATTGTTATTTTCGTAAATTATTTAGAAAAAATATAGAGATAAAGATGTAGCCACAAATGGAACAAATGAAAATTTTTCAAGTGTTCCTCATCAAGGAGAATTCGAAAAAAATGTGAGTTACTGTAACCATTCTTTCTACCAGATTTATATATCTCAATGTTTTGAAGCTGTGGATTTTGATGAAATCCTTCGTTGCAGTTTTCAAAAGGTTTTTGTTTCTTGAATTTAGAAAAAACAAATTATGGAAGAGCCATCTAAAGAGGAATTGAAATGGGCAATGATGAAACGGAAATACGCAGAAAATGAAAATTTTAAGCGTTTAGTTGATGAGGCAATTATGAAATTTGGGGGGGATGAAAGTCTTGATATTTTTGCAGATCAAAACAAAGGCGATATCAGCAGGTTTCTTCATTACATTAATATATTAAAAATACGAACTTATAGTGAACGACGTGCTGCAGGCCTAAATTTTTCGAATAAGCGCTAAGATCTTGCTCATAAATTAACTTCATGTTTTGATTCCGACTATATATTAAATGTTATTTTTCACGTGGAATTTCCTTCTGCTATAAGTCGTTTTGAGTTACTCTTGTGCTTTTTAAATATAATATGCAATATTGCAAGTCCACTTCAACTATTTTTCTATTTCCACATTTGAGAACTACATCTTATCGTTTTAGGAAGAAGTCACATCCTGTTTCACCTGTAATTAGAAGTACCACACGAGTCACGAGGCAAATGACTGTTAAACAAGTACAGCGACCCAGAAGTCCATCGGCTTTTTCATATGATTCGAAGAAATATTTGGCTAGATATGGTATAATTCCCGGTAAAATCTTCAGTCTTTGTTTAAATTCTCCATGTTATAGTGCTACAAAGCTTTTTATTTCTGTAATTTATTGAAATATAGTTTCTGTTTTGTTACATTGAGCTGTTTTGTTACATCGAAGCTGTTCTTGATTCTTCTCTGTGCACTCTATCACTCTACCACACCCATCCAGATTAATTTTTTTAACTTTGTTGTTCTTCATTTACATAACAGTCAAATCCCATATTTTTGCTTTTTCAGCTGTTAGTGATGTAGATGATTTCGAATCAAAGATTATTGATGATGAGCAACAACAAGTATCTGTACAATCCAACTACCATCCCGGAAATTCAGTAACTTATTATTCAAGAAATGTCCAGTGTAACAATCTGCATCGAAAAAATGAGGGGTGGTTAGATTTCGCTGGAAACTGCTATGACCCAGAATACCGAAAAGAAAGACGTTACTATACCAAAAAGAAACCATCACGTACTGTGTATACTGAAACAAATTACCAGGTATATTTTATTGCTTTTCAATCATTACATTTTTTAAGAATTCATGCTTGGCAAATGAATCACTGAATTTTTGTTTTGAATAGTACTTACTAACACTCTAATTGCCATATGTTAACTTATCTAACTATAAAGTTTTGACTATGTTGCACTTCTACATAGGCTGGGTAGACGAAAGGCATCATAAATCTTAGTAAACTAATTATCAGATGTTCAGTTTACGTTTTTGATTATGCGAAAAGAAAATAATATACTATTCAAAACTAATCAAAGAAATGGCGAAACTGATATAAATCTCAACCATGTTTAGATAGATCATTTTGACAACGATGAAGATGAAAATGTTGATGACGTCATTGAAGTTAGTGATAGTTCAGAAGCTGAAGATTATTATCCACCTGAAGCTCAAATGCGTTCACCTCGAAATATTAGGGTTTGGCGAGGTAGATTTTCACTAGTAATCTTTATTACTGTCTACTTCTTAATAAAAAGAACAAAATATCCAAGTTAAGATCTTATAGGCATAAAATCACTTTACCGCTCATTTTCTGTAATTTATGCTATATTTGAGGACATTGCAAGAAGGAGACTATGCCTCAACACATGAATGAAAGAATAAACAGATCTGCCTGGGATTAATTTCCATTCTATTTTGCACTTTTCAGAACAATTGATTTTTTTGTCACAACTTTATGTAAGATTCGCGTTTAGCTATTGTTTTTGCTCTTGTTATAGTTTATATTGAAGGAAGTAAAAAATAAATGATTACTGAAAGCAGATACTGGAAAAAGCGTGCTGTTCTGTCATCTAATAAGCAGGAAACGTGCGATGAAGAGGTGATTATTAGCATTTAAAGCAAGTAACGATAACAAAAGAAATAAGGTAAAGTCGTTGGAAATATAGTAATTTATGGTAATTACAGTTGTCATTTCCATCGATGAGTGGTTTTCTACATGATAAGATGAATAGAGAAAGAACCAGATTTCTGAAAGTTAGCAAAAAGTAATTTTGTTAATTACTAGATTACTGTTGGGAGTATGGTATTTTTTACACTGTACCACGTGCATGCATAAATGCGAATACCTATTTGTGACAAGATTTCAAATGAACTCCTGGATATTAAGCACTAATTTTTGCAATTATCAAATACATTACAGTAACTCAGCTATAGGTATTTATAAAATGAAAGATCACTTTCTACCTACTTTTTACAGACTTCCAGAAAAAGCATACTTCAAGCCTAATGAAATTTCTTGTGGTTCACGACTTTCACGCTATAGATGAGACTTCAAATAGATTTTCATAGCATACACATAATTTTCAGGACATGGATATGACAGATCACAATGACATTATAAGCCGCAAGCCTTGCGTACTGTAATCATCATTACAAATATGCGCCAGTAACTATAGAATGTCAGCACTTACTGCCAATTAGCAACATTTTCTCCTAACATTTTGGCTAATCTGATTAGTTTATTTGAAAAACTTTACAAATGCTTTTTTACAAATACCAGATTGCAGCATCCCACAGTACAACTGTCATCACTCCCCAACAAAGCAATGTATCCAAATAGATTGCACTAAAAATACAAAAACCGCAATTTGTAAAGTGTAACCCCGTCCATATGGCAACAAAACCCTAAGTTAACTTGAAATAGCTTTTATGTGACGGCAGAAGGCAGGAAAAAACACCTAGTTATTAAATGATACAGTGAACAAAATCGGCGCTATATTCTACAGCCCTCATAAAATTGACGCTAAAAAGTTTAGCACACTAAATATAATTCATTACTGTGCACTGCTAGAGACTTTCAAATTTCAAACCAAACAATGCTAAACATCTTCAAATGAATCAATTTGTATCTAAAATCTTGAAATTCACATAAGACTGAAAAACTGTAATCGCTAGATTTTTTAAATATGTTCCGCTATTTATTTGTACAATTGAATTGCGAACTCTTTCATATTTTTAGAATGTACTTTTAAAAAATATCTGGAATACTTGACAATCGTAAGGCTGATATTTGAAACAAAACTGATAATTTATTTCAAAACTAGCATTTTTCTATTTGCATTTCTCCTAAACGAGAATTTTTGACAGAAAATAACATTACAGTCGAAATGAAAATTAAGCTACACCAATCATTTATTCTTGTGACTAACTTGAACTTCTTATTATTATAAACAACGGCTATGAAGTCTAGACTAATCAAAAATAAGTTTTTGAACAATGAAAAAACAAAGTGTACCAGCCAAAAAATATCTGATCAAAATGTTAAACTTGAATTTGCGTGAGAGTATCCATGACCCAAAGTATAAAGCCTGACATTTAATAGTACTAAAGCAGGTCCGATATTAAATTTGACAAAGTCCTGCTTTTCGACATCAGACTTACGATATCAAAGTAAATCATAAACTATAATGAAACGACGAAGATGCGATGAAAGGCTTTCTTCATAACAGATCAACAAATTAAACAGGAAACAAATTTTCTCGCAGCTAAGTAAAGACTTTTCTAGTACTTTTCTAAAATAGCTTTTGAATTCACTAGTATATTGAAGCTTACTTGATATAATTCTAAACAATCAGCAGAAAAAGTAAGTTCTGAAACTAGAACAAATAAAGATAATAAGTAAAGCAAAAGAATAACTATATTAAATGACAAAAAAATTGTTAAAATGAAGTAAAAATGCGAAAAACAGCAACGCAGCAAACAAATATTGAGCTTTGAAAAGGTAAACAATATCGATTTCATCACATAATAGATCACATTGGAAAATCACAAATGATATTTTCTCTCTACCAAACAAATAGAAAAAGCAACTAATATGAAATACAGCTATTTTCCAATGGAAGATTAAATAACAACCGAGTTAACGAACAACAAACCTAAAAAGGCACGTCACAAGATTAGTGTCATTCGCCACTGGGCTGATCTGAAGTGATCGTCCTGCCGGTAGGGATCAATGACTCATCACCTACAGTTGTGCCACTTTCTTCTATTGTATCGTTTCTTCTAGGGACAGCTGTCTCATTTTCTACTAGAAATCCAGTAATAATACCAATTATTTCAAGCACTATCAGTTAACAAATGATGACCATTTCAATATTATTACTGAAACGCACCGAATTTAATTGTTTATGCTAAATTTGTGGAACCAAAACATGCCTCGAAGTATATGACTCAAGCGACATTCACTGCGATTTACAACTCTGGCTCCCTGCTCTGCAGCATGAAGAATGTCAACTTCATCGACTAGAATTCTGTTCCAACAATTTTCATCCTGCGAGAAATCACCAAACTCTCCATCATCAGCCATACGAGCAGGATTGAACGAATCGCCTGTATATGTTATCGTTGCGATAATATGGAACACCAATGCTTTGCATAACATTAAAACATGTAAGCTTTCAATAGCCCTATAAAAGCCGGAAAAAAACTTAGAAATGAGCATACAAAACTGCTGCTAACCACAATACATGAAGGGGAAATAATATATTTTATTCTTACTAACATGCGCGTAATTATGAGAACAACGGATGTAGTCTGTTCAAAATAGAACAAAAACTAGCCATTACTTCGACAGCCCATCATGTACAAGTCCCTCCTATTAATGCGACCGCGTTCAGCAGCATGAACAAAATCAACTTCATCAACTAATATATTATTCCACGCATGCTCATCATCGCTGGCAGCAGCTGCATTTGAAGCTCCTAATTCACTACCATCCAAATCTTCATGAAACAGCATTAAATGAAACTTTGCTATGCTTGTACTTCTCGGCAAATGATATAATTACAACCTGCAGATATAAATAAGCAAAGAATAAATAAACAACAGGGAATAAAAAGCCCCGAAAAACAACCTATCTTTGAAAATCTAAACCTGCATTATTAAGACCATAGTTGCTACCATTACTCTGCCTACGAGAATGTTCAGCTACCAGTGCACTAAATCGAGCTGTTTCTAATTCGCTCAATTTTCCAGAGTTTACAGCATTTAATGCATCAACTTCATCAACAATTATTTCACCTCGGCTTACCGCCTCAGCCATATCAATCAACGGCATTTTTACCAACTTACGAACTTCCTGAAATAACTGCTTCGAAATTGCAAACAAAACTCACGAGAAATACCTACCACTAAACTTAGATTCTAACAAGAACGAATGAAGTATCAAATAACACGAATTTTTGGTAGCATATGGCAGCTACGGTTCAGAATTGTAAAATCCGTAAAAATTATTAGTAAAGAAGACACAACAATTTGGTTGCAATCTACTCATTAAAACATTTACTTGCTAATAAAAATAAGAATAGATCGCAAAATTGTAGCACAAAGAATAAAAATGATGAGCGAAGTCCCACGACAATGCATGCTAGCCTGACTAACGAATGAATAAATTGAAATTACCAAGCAAACTTTGACTTCCTTTTAAAACAAAAACCATCTAAATAACCATACCAAAACGTATTATACAATAAACGAATAAGCAGCATACCGAACATGCGCGATTTAACGCGGCCTTACAATAAACAAATTTTTGCAATCTGACATGTTCATCGACCTAGCAATCGCTTAATTTGGTAGTGAGTAGAAAAATGGGTAATTTAAGCAATAATATACTACTAGTTCTATTGATGACATATATTAGTAATTGTTAGTATTTGTTCCATTCAATCATTTGCAACTATCTTCTTGCGTACTTTAATCTCAATATTTATCATGCGTAAAGCTAACTGTATACTACACGTGTATTTATAATCATGTTTCTCAAAGGCACAAATTCTAAGGAAAAAACTTATAGGAAATATCAGTTACGTGTCCAGGAGTATATGTATTCTGATGAAGCAAGTTTAATCAATTTAAACAATTAAGAAACGAAGCAGACACAAGCAGAGAAAATAGCTATTGGTAAAAATCTAATTTCAAAAGGAACTAAAATAAAATTAGAAACTGCACAGAATAGACTTAAACATATGGTTCATTAAAATGTTTTGTGCTACAGTGCACTAACCACCATAGCATCAAATATAATGAACAGTTCTTACAAACCATTATGCTATTCCTACCTATTCAGTAATGTAGATCTATTATTAATCATCTGGCAATAATATAATTTTATCAAATTAATTTCAAAAGCATCTTTACAATGGAATACAGATTTTTTGCTGGAAGTAGAATGTGCTGAATGACATCTAACAAAATGTCTACATCAATTATTTGCTATTTATTGAACAAAGTATTCAAAATAGCTTTTGAAGTAATTAAACAAACATTTCAAAAATTATATATATGCATGTACGCAGGAGCACAACACAACACACACACACGCACATACACACACACACACACACGCACATACACACACACACACACAAGCATACACTCATAAGGAATTCGAATTATAAAAAAGTAAATCAACGACCATCAGAAGTATTCCAAGTAAGACATGTATTTGTTGAAATAGTAATCATTCTAATACAAGTCATACTTTGCAGATTACAGTTACTAGGGATAGTTACTGTAGCTTCAATCAATCTCTTCTTTACACTGTTTAATTCTCTATTCAATGCTATAAAAGGTATAACCGAACGAATTTTATCTGGTATAACAATCCGTACTCCAGCACTACTATGATGATATTTTGCCCCATCACGGTAAATCATAAAATCAACACCATAATGTAATCCCGACCGCACAGCCCAACCACAATTCCTTAAAAAACGATATGTAGCATAGCGTCGCACAAATTGAATGCCCGAATAATTAAAAAATATCTGCCAAATATCTTCAGCAGCGTATTCTACTTCTTCATCGTTTAAAATACGCAATAAATTCACTTCTGCACATAGATAGAACGATTCTTCCATACTCAAGCGAAGTGAACCATCTTTTGGTGACATTTGTTTCCAAACTAGTCGTCTAAAATATAACTATTTAAACGGCAAAACTTTCATTTTTAATACCAAAGTAATGAAATTTCAAGTGCCGGTCAATAAACTATTGCATCAATTAAATAGTATACTACATAAATTTTGCGATTTCAACAAGTCAAAACTGAGCATTTTGGTTATTCTACTCAGGACAAAAATACAGGCTACAAAAAATGCAGCAACCCTTCACATTTCATGTCATCATTTCATGATTTTACATTAGCGTTTATACTTCTTTTACATCCAAACACATTAACTTAATGCCTTAGTAAATATGAAAGCGCAATTAATTATGCAGCATTATTAGCTTAATCATAAAAAAGCGGTGGTCAAAATGATTGCATGAGAAATTTACTTCGTGTGGAGGTTTACATAATTAAGCCATTCCTGACTTCAATTATGCAAATAATCCCTTTTCTCATAAGAAATAAATAAACAATACTGCATTATGCAATAATGTGACTTCAAAACTTTTCTTAAAATTCCAGAATTTTTCCTTAAGCTAAACCTCAACTACCTTCTTGAAAATCATTTTCTTACCACCCAATACATTATACTCATTACTTTTCATGTGAAAAAAACAGTTACCAAATACTTTCACTTACACAAAAAAATATTACGGCAAATACAGTCGAAATCTTTTTCAATACACATACACACACCTGCTACTATACTTCACTTGAAATATTTCCACAATAAAAACGTTACAAATGTTAGCGGTACTACTACATTACACAGATAACTCTAAAGTTCAATACACCTATAACGATTCATAGAGAACTACATCCAATCTAATATAAATTAATTCATTCTTTGCTGATCTAAATATTTTCCCACACATTTTTGAAATAAAAATAAGTACTGTATTACTGTTCAATGTGAACAAATAAAAAAGAGACATAGTAAAATTGCACCTTGCACAGAGTAGTGTAATACTATTAATTTTTGTTTTAAAATTAATTCAATTCTAGCACTAAAAGTAGAATCAAAAGATTTTCAAATGGAAGCAGTTAACTACTTACTTTCAGTTACTATTTAACAATATACAATTCAAGTTGCAACATCCGTTATTCCTTCTGCAATAGTTTCACTAACATTGCAACTTTATCACGATGAATTAGAGGCAAAAGTTTACAATTAATTATTACTAACGAAATTGAGATAAAAAAACATTAGCGAGTAGTAATTGAAAGTCAGTATTTAGTTAATATCTATTGTAAAAATGAAAACGCTACCATAGCTGCTATAATTTGTTCCTGCATTTAGCGTTAGCAGTTATTCACTTCTCAGCTTCACTATTCCCTTTTCCTTTAAAACAAGCAAATGAAGTAAAACTGGATAAATTTTTCTTCAAAAACTTTAGCACTTACCAAGTAACCACCATTTGCTTTGAGTAATTATAGACAAAGAATTAATGGTAAATTAGCTTAAATCTAATTTCATTTGCTATTTTATTTTCGAAACAGTTTTCAAAAGCAGACCTCATTTTATAATATGTATTCTTGCCAACAGATGGTTGTAAATCTTTACTTAATTTATAAAAAGCAAGTACGAATTCATTTGAAATGCCTTAAATCACTGAAGAGATTAATATTTAACTATTACTCATACTTGCATGTAAAATGAGTTAAGGCCATCTAAATTTTTAGTTTGTTAGTTGCCATTCTGCCAGCTGCAAATAATAGCAAACCATTAAGTAAAAAATTTTCACACTACTTTCAATACTTTAATTCAAAGACTGAATTAGTACTTACTGAGCTCCTTTTCCAAAATGTGAGTGAAAGCAATATATATTTAACTAGATAAGTGCGCATACTATGCAAATCTCACGAAAATCCGAACATAATTATTAATTAAAAATAAAAATGAAGAGTTTAGAGAAAAAGTTAAACATGACGGATGACATGGACAGACAATTACAAGCAAACAAGATAACACTACACATGACTATCACTATGACAAAATTAGGTACATTAATTGTCATTTATTGACGATCAGTAAAAAAGCATACTTTTATTTCTCATAGTGCTCAATTTAATATTAATCACTTTTTTGAAATTACCAGCATATTATTCTAAAAAAATCCACTAGTGACCTTCATTTTCTAATATCTTATTTCAAGACTAGCTTTACTGAAGAAAATCTTGCAGAGCTGTTTCCTAGCAATAATTATGTTCTAGTAGCATATCACTTCCATTTCCATTACTACTTCTATCATTAGATTACATCTTTATGCAGGCGTATATAATTATAATTTTTTATCCTGGAAGATAAAGACTATGTACTCAATATAAACTTTATATATTTGAGTAAAACAAATTCAGATGTCAGTTATGATCAGCTATTGCAAGGTAGAACATGATTAGTCCTTCAGAACATAAGAAAGAGACAATAAAGAATACAATGCAAAAAAATAAATCTAATTCCATTTTCTTCTATTACAATGAACGGCAAGAAACAGACCTCATCACATCATAACATTGGATACATAAATATTATCGCTTATAATTTTACATAACAAAAGGTACGAGTAAATCTACACACACATGACTGACTGCACGAGAGCTTTAACCAAGCAAATTAAATTACTTCTCAAGGTAAGCCTAAGGTTAAATCAATAATATAACATTATGAACTTGTATTCGCGCAGCAATTCATACGTATAGGATAGCAATATACATCAATAAGTATTATTTCCATAGATACAAATGGACACAGCAGTAAAGACTACTCATAATGGCACTCCCCACTAGTAGGAAACAGTTTATCTATTACTTGTCTTACAAACATATCAAGCTAATACTTTATCCCCAATGCAAGATAAAAAGTAAATTAGTAAAATTACGTTATAGCACACACCACTCATCTATTCATTCATTCATTTAACTTCTCTTCAGCCTATGCAACAAGAATAAATATTCCATTTTAATTTGATTTGTTTACATCATACTGAAAATAGAGAAATATAACAACGAGACTGCGAAACCATAATCAATATAATAGTTGTCATCAACGCTTTTAATATTATTAATGCACATGTCAGACTAATTATTACGATTACATTACATCTTTACAGAAATGATTGTAGCTGAATTTACCTAATTAAGCCACAATTATTACACTTTTAGCAAAGAGCTTACTCATTTACTCATAATTTCTAATATTTTCAAAAGTACACATATACACATGAAAATACATAAACAACGCATGCAGGCATGCATATACACATACGCATTTAAAATGATACTACTATAATCCATCTTAGCTAGAATGAAACAGCAAATCATTGTAGAGTATTGAAAGCGACAACAAAAAGTATACACTTCATTTGGGCAAATTCTGACCAAACTGAGGTCACAAGGTCAAACAGCAATTTTGCTACTGCAAAAGCACAGCTGCTGCGCATAAACACCCTACCATCTGTGAATTTAATAACACAGCATTGTTCACCATCTCATCTATTTCCACTAAGGCAAATTTTGCTCATACTACCCTCCCACACAAACAATTCAGTACAATACCAACAAATACTATGTTAATGAGTAATTTAACATCATTAATGTAATTTAACATCATTAATCTTGAAATAAATAAGACAATTAAAGTACAAAAATCGAAATTAGTAACTCATATATTTGGTATTAAGACGAACACGTAATAAAGATTTTGATGCCAATATACATAGAACACTGCAACTTGCTTTCCATAGCAAACAGAAACAATTTCATTGTTTCTGATGGTAATAAACTGTGGTCAAACAACATTAAATACCGATGAAGAAGATAAAGTATTTTATACGACAAGTAATCAGGATAAGACTAGGAAAATAGTTTGAATGTATTATTCGAAATGTCTAAGTAATTATTGATGAAGTTGCAACTAACAAGCATTAGTAGTTAGAATTTCGCCGAACGATAAGCAAGATTATATACGAAAGTATATAACAAAGCAAACAAGCAATATAAATTACAACGTATACTTCCGCCATTAATTAGAGCTAAAATACAAAGTCAACTATGTCTAGCAATTTATACAACAATAATATAAGAGCTGTCACTGTGCATCACTTCAATTACCACAACATTTTCAGTATAAATGAATATAATATTTCAGTTTATTTACGACGATCGTTTCTCTTCAATATTGCTCTCTTTTATTATGCTCTTTGTGCACAATTATTATATATATACATATCCCTTTGAAATATTTTTAACAATGTGAAAGCATTTGCCATTGTTACCATCATTATATTTGATACTATCATATCTGATAACAGGTATTATCACAAATCCTACGTTATTTCGGGTGAAAATTTGAAAATAAATTCTCAATGCAAAATAAATTCTCAGTACAAGTATTTATCAATTTTTCTTTATCAAACTTGTGTGTTAATGAACTCAAATTTCGGTCACAAATCAATGAAAATTACCAGACAAAAAAGAAACCTACAAGACTAGAAAATATCCGCTAAATTACATAACTAATGTAGTCAGATAATATAATTAATCCTTAAATATCGACTAGCATATTTTGTTAATGATGATATTTTTTTAATTTTATATAGATGCAGAAATTGATTACTTAGAAAAATTGTACACGTAGACTGAATTAACAACAGTATCTTAATTCTAAATTATAATTCATTGACCATGGAAACAAGCAATAAACTAAAATTGATAATAATTTTTAAAAGAAAACAAAATTTTTTCATGAGCTTAAGCACTCTCACTGTAACACATTTCATAAAGTTTAACAACAAGCAGTAAGCATTTAAAAATCTGCCTGATCATATGTCAACCTACTCTTGCCATTACTCACTACTTGTATTGAAAAAATAATGCTAGCAACTTCTGCAACAACACTACTGCTCTTTTTTTTTTTTTGTAAAAATAAACCGACCATAAAAATGCATCATTAAAAATAAGAAAATGATTTTTGAAAGCATCAAAAATTAAAAAGTTGCAACTTAGCTATTATTTATTCATAAACAATCAAATAGCTGTTTAAAATGATATAAAAACAAACCTTTTTGTTTGGCCTAAATATACTCGTGAATAGATATTTCTAGGATCTTCTTCATCGCTCTCTTCATCATCCTCTCTCTTCTGACTTGGTGAACACTTCTCTTCAAGATACTGTTGTATCTCATTATTGATTTCTCCCTCAAAACATTCTACCGATACACGTGGTGCACGTCGTTGTAAAAATTCCCCAAAAAATGCATTATTATACAGATCACGAGCTTCACTAATATTTTCGACGATCACTTGTTCGCCTTGTAATATTCCACAATATCTGAGAACTGTTTCAAGTACTGGTTTCTTGTAATATTTGGATATACCTGGTTTACGCTCAAATATTAACAAATCCATATCATTCACCACAGTAATATCTGCAAATTTATTTAAAAATATACATGCATATTACATGCGAAACGTTAGTAATAAATTTGTTAAAAAATGAAACATTACTCATTAATGTAAACTAAAACATAATTCAGAAATTTTTCTTGTTGTTTGCTTATTTAAGATTTTCTTGTTCATTAACTCATCTTTAAATGAGCTCAACCTTGAAATTGCCTCCAATTCAAACTTTAATGAACAATAACTAGAATGCAAAAATAGATAGATAAACATTTTCTATCAACAGATGGATGGATAAGAAAATTGATTCTAAACGATTTTTCGGAAGTAAAAATTTTTTATTGCATATCTCGAACGAGAGAACAATTTTATTTGTATTGCTGATATGTATAGACTTGCAAGAGTGAAACTACTAATAAACTAAACGATACGATTTTTTTGCGAAAATAATTGCAAAAAAAAGGCCTAGAAACACATAAGGATCTAATACGTCTTGAAATTGCATTTGGCTTTTCAATAAAACATCAACTTGATGAAATATAAAATATTTTCAAAGTATTAACAAAATTTATAAAAACAATATGAATTTTTTATGCGTAACTTTATGAAAGTTTGTTTCTGCATAAACTTAAGACACCGATATGTATAATTCATTTCATCCCAAATTAAATTAATGAAAAAAATTGCGCTTCAATCACTCTTCAAAGTCAAGCTAAAATGATAAAAACAAATAGGAATAAAGCACAAATAATTTTGATATAATAAATTTGCGCAATAGTAAATTTTTCCCGCTTATTTGCTGAAAAAAAGACAAATTTGATAAACTATTACATAATGTTCTTGACAAATCTTACCTTTGTCTACTCTGGTATGAAAATAATCAGTCCATAACAATAATAACAATAGCTCTTATTTTCGCACTGTGACCTATCCCTGCAAACAAATTAAATTAGTATAGAAATAATTGCTGAAATAAATTAACAGTCAATAAATACTACCGAATACTGCTGAATATTAAACAACTTTCCCTCCTATCCTCATACTACTTTGCACATAAAGAAAACGCGAAATCTGATCAGAATAATATCAACCACAACCCCCTACCAGCATATTACCTCTTTATTTTATATGATGACTAACTACTTCAGATGAAATCATTACTTATTCTCTTATCTCAATATAACCAGTACTCAAAAACAAATAGGATAGAATACATAAATATGCAAAATGACATAAGCAACAAAAATTTATTGATCTCCCGCACATTTTTATCTCTCTCAAAATCTTTCTTAATGTGACCAGACCGAACTTACGCAGCAATCTTAAAAACCTACATCTATTTTATACATTCAGTTATTAAGTGATTTCTATTTGTGAGGTCATAAAATATGTAACATATGTATAACTTCATTGTTCTTAATTTCAGAGTGCAGTCTCCGTTTCAATTAACATAATCTCAATACTGCCGGAAGTCTCTGGAAATTAGCTAATGAATATATAATGTAGCAACGGAGACAAATCTGAATCTCAACTCTTTCTGTAATGTCATTTATAGTGATCATTTCAACTTAACAACATGTAAGTCCTCAAAAATCATATGCTCACAATGATCATTAAATGATCCACATAAATTTTACAACACAAAATTTTCGAAATGAAAAAAGCCTAAGGCGCATGAAACATACAGTTTGAAATGAGTGAGAAACACCTATGAGATCTAAAAAATATCCAGCACATGAAAAAGTTACCAAAAATTGTAGGCGAACAACAACGTGTAGCTGTGTAACAATAGCATGAATATGGATAGATCACAAATGTTCATATAACGATTACTCCATCACTAATTACGCCTTTTTCATACCATAACAAAGTGGGCGATTACTTGCAAAACTATAGAAAGTACCTGACAATTTATATAAATCAATCTTAAGAAAAAGTGGATAGTGAAAAAAAATTGTAGACTAAATATAATTTTAAAAAAAAATAATTAAGTGAAAATTTAATGCCAAACATCTGGCAAAAATGGATAGACATCTGAACATATTTACAAGCGAATGCTTGAAAACAATATCACACACTTTAAAAACACTAAAAACATCTAAATGTGAATCAAGAAGTGAGACTTAATGATTCAATTATGCACTGCTAGAACTGAGTTGAAATTAACCCCAATCAAATTCTTGATTCAGTATTAGCAATTTCATGTTTTACATATCAAATTATCCTCGTAAGTACTTTTCAATTCAATAACTAGGCAAAATATTACTGCGAAGCATTTTTCGATGTGATTTTAATGTGCTTAGCACCAAAATAACTTTAAAGATTTACTCCATTACGATTTGTTCTTGTTCTCAGGACATTCGAAGCAAGATGGGACGAAAATCAGCAAAATACATCGAAGAAGATCTTAGTGCACTGAAACCACTTAAAAAGTTTCCAGATACATTTTAATTTCAGCAAAAATGATTAAAATTCTTTTTGAATTGAAAATTACTCGTCACCCCCATATACAGACGCTGTTGATGCGTAAGTTGGCGTGCCTCTCCCACGCCCACGTCCTCTACCTCTTCCACGTACAACAGGATTTCGCGCAGATGTCGCTTCGTCAATTCGTTCCTACATAATAATTATTACAATTCATCACCATTTTTTTCAAATTCAAAACAGTCTATATCACAAATTTAAGAAACTTGTTTCTGTGATTGCTATCTTTGAAGGCTTTTTTCACAAGGTACTTTCCAGATTAAACTCATATCAATTCTAAGTAAAGACTACGGAACCTGTTTAAAACTAAACCTGTAAAGAAGCTTTATAGATTATATACGGTTCTTCACTGACGAATCGTTCACCGTGTTTTTCCAAATATTTAAGTCTAAAAAGGTGCCAAGAATGCTAATTACAAGGAAAAATTAAATCGTCATTACAAATCATTAAATGCAGAATATACTGATAAAGTTCTTCATTAAATAAAGTTTAAAAGTTTCTATGGAAATGATTTTTTTCCAACAATAACTTACATAGAAAGTTTATCCTGCCGCAGTAACTTATTGCTAAATTCACACAGGATTTCCAGAAAACTTATATTTCTATTTTCGACCGGTCCACTTCCATCTTCATCACTTTTCACGGCAAATACTATACCATCCCTGAAATTCATATAATGTTTTGTTTTTATTTATCGTATGATTTCAGATACAAAAGTTAATGATAAATGAAAGTAATATAGCTATCTCACTTGTGAATGATGGCTAATGCCTCACGATTTTTGATGAAGTCGGAGCCAAACAGACTAGAAAAACGTTTTGCGAGATCACGAATTGATGCAAATTCATCCGAATTTGGGTCAACAAAGTTCTTAGAAGAAGAACGCTGAAAGGAGGAAAACATTATCAAGTTTTATTTTTTTTACAAATTATTATTTTTACTTGTTGATTATTTTTACTTGTTAAAATAGGCTTAAATGCCAAGATTTCAATCAAATTACTTCAAACATCAAATTTATCATTTCATATGTTACTAGACAATTTAGATAAATTTCTGTCTTTATTATTTTTCTGAAGTAAAAAATAATGAGTGGAAATATAATGCCATGATCTGTAAATGTTTGATTGATTGAAACGATAAGAATAAATTATAAGATCAATAAAATACCTTAATTTCCTCGTAATGATGAGAAAGCGCAGTGATTACAGCTTTCGCACAACTTAATCTATCCATATCACGACATTTCGTAAGAAGAGTCTTCAAAATGTCCCCAAAATCGGTATAAAACTGAAAATTGAGGGCTGTCAGAGAACAATATACAAACATGTAAAAATATTAATGTAACATTAGTGTCAACCTTTGTGTAAAACTGCAGCACTACACAAGCTTCATAAATCGGCAGTATACCATGCAATATCAGCTTACAAAATTGAACAAGTATCTTCCGCCGCTTATGCATTAATTCTACTTGCGTTTGTTGATCTAGCAACTGTTCTGTAAATTAAAAATTGGCTCGCAAGGACTGGAAAGTACTAAACTCAAATGGATGAATTAAATATGTAGAGTTTAGTTTGTAATCACAGTATATGACTTTCAAAATAAGTTTCAAAGAAATAAATTTTTGAATGATCGTTTGAAAAACGATAATGTCAGCAAAAAAAGGATAACATATTTTACCTGACTCATTTTCTTCTACAAAAACGTTATCTTGAACAAACATTGAGAGTGCTCGAATAATCTCATTATCTAATTTTATAGCCAAACTTTTCTCGTCCATCCCATTAAACATCATTAATGCATCAACAAAACACAAAAATGCCTATAATTTCTATAAAGCTTTCATCGACAGATATAATAACATAAGCAAACCACAGAAATTACATTATCCGTTAATGAATCAATGTAAAATAAAATAAATCACTCACATTTTCAACGCCTGATGCACCACTCATCATGATTGATGTTACAAGCTCAGTGAATTCTTCTTTATGTCTCTGTAGTCTCCTCAGTGCTTCCTAAAGACAAAGCGCAAGTATAAAATTTATCATTACAAATGCCGCAACACTGAAATAGCTCATGAATATCGTTCGGAAAACTACGTAAACCTTAGCATACACAAAAACATGACAAGAACTAACCTCTTTGTTAGGTTCCTGTTCACGGGTCAAACGACTCACATCCCAACATAGTGATGCAAACAATAAAACAACAGCTTTTTCTCCAACATCACGAGATACTTGTTTCTCTTCCCCATTTGTCAATACACTGAATGCCACATCCCAAAGCTGCCACTTTTTCAGGTCTTCAAACCTAAAAAACAATCTAATTCTTTTTAAACTTTAACCTTTTTAAATATGAAGTAGTATTCAGAGAAAGTGAAAATATACATTGCGAAAGCCGTAATTTTTCGAAATGCAGCAAGCATGGCTGCATCGTCTTCTTCATCTAGTGCTTGTTCTCGATGAAAATGCTGCACAGAATGACGTAACTGAAGTGCTAAACCGTCTAACATTTTCAAACGATGAGTTTCTGTATGCTGAGCTACCTACAAGAAATTACTCACCTAAAATTAATAGTAAATGATATTTTCATTCTAAAGAAAATTGTTTTTTGCATGACAAACAAAATGAAATTCTTAGTCAGTAAAAGTTTAGAATAAAAATTTAATTATCAAATGCAGAGCATGACAATGCGAGTACACGGACTAAAGACTGAAATAAATATGGAAATAATCAAAGAAATATGAGCACAAATATGAAAATTTACACTAATATTAGTAGAAAAATATGACATCACTTCGGCAACACTCTGAAGAATTTCATCATCTGCATGCTTTTCTACGATACTTTCCAAGGTACTCATTAATTCATCCAGATGCTAGAAGAAAAACAACAAGTACAGTAAAACATTGCATAATAATCTAGTTAAAAAAAGGAATGAAAGAACAATTCACCTTTTCTAGTCTGCTAGCCATGTACATATCAAGTTCAAAGAAAAGTGGCACAGTAATCAAATTCGCTACTTTGTCTCTATCAGCAATAAACTGAAAAATAAAGACCATAAAAATTCAAATGAATCGAGTGCGGATCGAAAAAAATCGAAAGAGTTTCAAATCACGCAATTCGTAGCCATAAATGTATATTTTGAGTTCATTTATATTTGGCACAAACATAATATAGAAACGTTGGCATATGAAATACTTGCACGCTGAAGAAGTTGTGGTAGTTGAGGGATTAAATTTTCAGAAAGACGAGATCTATCTTCTTGTAGCACACGTGCGTCTTTATTAACAGCTGATCCTTTTTTAGTCGAATAAGTTCGTCCAACGGGGCTTTCAGCTGTAGCGGCTTGTTTAACGGAGCATGCCAGTACTTCGATCAATTCACTCTCAAATCCTTCAGCTAAAATATTAAATTACTCATCTTAGATTGCAATGAATGAGTGAAAAACACGAAGAAGCATTCCCTTTCACTTTGTTGACTTCTTTATTTGTCCAGAAATAAAATTATACTTTGTCTTTAAATGATTTTTATAAGGCAAAATATCATTAACCTTCGCCAGACAGCAACAAATCAGACATGGTTTTCCAATCTTTGATCATCGGATTAGTATCAATGAGAGCATCAACAAGATAGGCTGCATGATCATGACACTAAAAAATCATTGTGAAGTCTGTTTTTTGCACTACTATACAGAAATAAAACGAAGTAAGAAATTCCAAGTTACTCACATCGCCTTCCACAAAGAATTGAACTAGATCAATGATTAACTGCTTGGAATTATCACTAGCTCGCTTTTTTTCTGATGACATAACTTCCAGGATTTGAAAAACCTAAACCGAGATTGTAAGAATGACAAGCAAAGAATGTTAGCAAACAATTAATTTTACTTCCAAAATTATTTTTTTTTAAAACCCGAAATCAGAAATTAATCTTGATGTATTGAAATCAAGATTGTTTTCAATACATCAAGAATTTAAGAGATAAGTAATGCCACAAAATTATCGATTTGGAATGGGTACTAATTCCAAATCGATAATTTTGTGGCATTACTTATCTCTTAAATTTTCTATCTGAAAAAGTATTTATTGTATTGAAATCAATGCGAATGTCAACTAAAATCTAGTTTGTGCAATTAATTACCTTTGTGTTTAAAAATTCTCCAGCTGCCTGAGCTAGACCTCGGTGATTACAATAAACTAATTCATAAATAGGAACACAATCTTTCACAGTTAAAACCTCCGGATAAACCCGATAGATTTCGGTCAGTAACTGACAAGTACGCACAGCAACTTCGCAATCTTTATCCATGACCATGCTAACGAGTCGATCTTTGAACTTATTAGTAAAAAGCTCCAATTTTTGTGCCAGATGTGGTACGTTATAAAGAGGAAGAAGTGCCGAAACGCACTTCAAGCGTACATCGCTTACCTGAATAAAACTAATGAATAAAAATAATTCCGATTTCATGCAAAAAAATTTTAACTATTTAACCTTGTCATACAAAGACCATCCAATATATTTGAGATAAGAATCGTCTAGAAAATGATCCGGGTAAACAGACATCCACTGACCCAATTCATTGATACAGATGCTGCGAATGTCAGGCACCACATCTCTTGAAACTTTTGGAAATTTCATACAGATCAACAAAAAAGAAGCTGACACATATTGCAAATATGAAATCATTTTAGAACTTTAATATTGTTTGTAAGTTTTTACACCAGTCATACAACTTTCATATAAATGAGAGGCAAAATAAATGAACAAATTTCACATACCGATAACGATGTACAAAAACGCTTTTGAAAATGTAAGCTAACATCTGCCTGATATCTTCAGTTTTGTCATCGATCTGCAAAATAACGACAGTAAAGAGCGATATTAATACACCAAAATATTTTGTAAGCTAATAAATACTTTTTCAGATAGAAAATTTAAGAGATAAGTAATGCCACAAAATTATCGATTTGGAATTAGTACCCATCCTGTGAATCTCACTTCCTAAAAAATAAAATAATTACAAACAAACTTCAGTTTTCTTATTAATCAAAACATCAAGACGATTGTTGGGGGCTTCTGCTCTTAATTTTGCTTTTTCCGTTTCAACCTAAAAAAATTAAAACTTAAAAATAAAGTCTACAACCAAATCGAAAACCACTGTTAATAGACAAACCTGCTTAACATTTTTTGTTTTGAGATCTACCAATTCCAAAGCAACATCAACAAGAGAAGATGACAATTTCATAGCTGAAATATTGGGAAAGATTGAAAAATGAAGTGCCTCAAATGAACATAAGCAAATATAAATTATGACGAAACCTTTTAAACGAAAATAATGCAATACATTTATAAGCAGGATCTGTTAAAAGAAATGAAGTAGTGAACATAATATATTGTATTGCATATTTGAATTTCAAAGAAAACACAAATTGGACTTTGAAACTACCATGTTTTTGAGTAGTAAATTTGAAAAATTCAATATCCAGTGAAATTTAAATGGTTTCCTAATAAAGAAAAAGTTTTAACTGCAGGCCCATTTCCGAACTAGCCTGCAAATGTAGATGTATGCCGAAACGCACGAACTTGACTATCAGCTAAACCTGTGAGTAGCTGAATAACCCCATCCATCAAACGTTGATCGAAAATATAGTTTGATTTGCATTTGTTTACCAAAAGCTATAAATTTGAAGATATAGATAACTATAAATCAATTTGAAAAATCAAAAGAATCTAAAAATTATCATATATACTTGATAAAGTAGATTAAGTCACCAAGACAAAATCTGCCAGCGTTTGTTTAAATTTTTTCCACTGAGGTCCTGGCATGATTAAAGGGTAATCTCCGCTGTCTTCATCAAACTGATCAGTCATTTGACGAATTATTTCACTGCAATAAATAAGAAGCTTTAAATAAGCAGTGAATTAACTCCAGATCGAATGACTGATTAAACTATTAAATTGATGAAGTAAATGTCCCAAGATAAAAAAATATGAAAATTTTTATCAAGTAAAAGCATCCATCAAGATTTTTTATTTTCAACAAAACTTATGCCAATCACCTATATTCCATAGTTTGAAGCATGACAGATGAAATCACGCCCTTGCATCCACAACATGAAATAAAAAACTGCTGCAATTGCACAAGAGCATTTTCTGGATGCCTTTCATACTCTTCTATCCAGTTATTGATTACTACCTACAATTGAAACCAAGTGTCTCAACCAGCAGTTTAATTAATTTATGTTTAAAAATTCACTTCAAGCCAAATCTATACATGTTTTATTCCTAAATGTTTAATTAGCACATTCTTGAAAAGAAAGATCATATGAACACATTACAAGCAAAATATTTTTTTATCTTATAAGAAACTGAAAATACTTGTAAATTTTTTCCCCTTTTAACCAAGCTGAACAAACTGCTTTCGTCAGCGTCTTCTTGAGACTGTGCGTTATTTATGCGACGACCAACACCTCGCCCTCGTGTACTATTTCGTGGGCGCCCTCTTTTACCCTGAATCTAAATGTAATACAATAATGCTTATTACTTGATTTTTTTGATCCCAAATAAATACAATTTTAAATTAAAAAATCTAACAGCTGTGGTCGATTCAACTAATCCCGAGGTAATATCTTCTAACTGTCGACGTTTTCGACCACGTGTACTTACAGCTGGTGTCCGAAACACTGACTCAGTTGATGTTTCCAAATGATATTCAGAATGCTGTTCGTCATCCCTATAAAATTTTCTAAATGAAATAATTTTTCAAAATGACTTAAACTACAATTCTCTAGAACTTTTCCCACTTCAAAGCTCAATAAAGCCTTGGTGATTTCTTCAGAAACTATTCATCTAATTTATATAAAGAACTTAACTTTAACTTAAACCACAGGAACGAATTACAAACAAAGACAAATTGTGTCCATTTTAACTAAAATACTGAGAACCAAAAGGATTTTTCCCAATAATTCTTCAATACTGAGAATCATTCTGAAATTAGCTCGGAATATTTTAGTTAGAATACATTATTTATCCAACTAAATAATCTACAAATGTGGGAAGAAATTGTATTATTCTATAAAATTATAGACTAAAAATTTTTAGGGTATATTTTGTCATAAAATTTTTGTTGTAATATATAAAAACAAATGTTCTGCTATTTACAAAAAGGATACAACATAACTCTCGCAATAAAGGAGAGCTTTAGAAGAAAAGACTAACGATGAAATATGCGCCAACGATACTGCACTACTGCTTTCTCGCGGAATTGCAGAAGATATTTCAACGTACTGAGGCGTTACACTACGTGAATCCATAAGACAAAGTTCTTGCTCTTCTACCATATCCTACTTAACATAGTACCACAGCACTAATTAAAAAATAATCATCTGATTTGTTAGTATATTTGTAATGATGCAAATGTGATGTACGCTACAAGCACTATCTATGTACCTACAACTTTTGCATACTCTTTCTCTTTCCTTAACATCTATAGCGTTGTCTAACTTATACTTACATTTAATTTATCGAAAGTAACTGAAATAATTTAAACAGCTACACAGAATCAAATAATTAAAGCATTTTTCATTTGAAAGATATATCTGAAAGCATATAAATATTCCATAATTATTTATACTTCCATTCTAAATAATTTGTTAATAACGATTTGTATTTAAATTAATTAATTAGTTTCCTTTGCTCTCTGTTATTTTTAGTAATTTTTATTTTTATTTAATATTTTGAGCATTTTTGTAGAATAATAAGTCAAATTAAATATTAAAAATTATATACATTATTTAGACAAAAAATTGTGCAATAAATTGCTGAAAAAGAGCTAAAAGCTTTTGTTTTTTCATCATTTCAACAAACAGTGCTCAATTTTGTCTAAAGTATGCATGCATTTTAATAAGATTTCATATTTAAGTATTTATATGCTGCAAAAAATTAGAACATAAAAATATCTAAAATTTATGTTTAAATTTAACTTTTTAAAATTTCTAACAATAAAAAAATTTTATATTTGCTTTTTAAAAAATGATTTTTAATTGATAACAATCAAATGCTTTAATTGCTGTAAATTAAGTAATCAAATTAGTGTACTGTTCTACTGCTTGTAGTGGCATAAGAATGCAATTACATTTGCTAAAGATATTTTATTCAAATTGAAAACAATTATAAAAGAGATAATTTTTGTCAGAAAATCACTTTAATTTGCTCGTCTCCATCATGTATACAGTTTTCTTACTCTCTTATTTTTTTAATTTTTTTGAAGAATAATAGTTTTTTTGTTAATTTTTAAATTGTACATCTGAAATGATTCTTAAATTTTTTATGGGATGAAATTTTACAAATTTGAGGGAAAATCAAGAAGAGAACAAGCCAGCAATAAACTCGATACACGATATCAATCCAGAATTGCTCAAATTATTATACAATCTACCTTCTGATCTTGAGGCTCAAGTGAAAGATGTTGAGGAAAAAAGTGGAATCAGAAGAGAACATGTAAGCCTTCTTATTAAAAGCTATGTAAAATTTTATTATATTTTTTATCAATATTTAAGTTTAGGTATTAAATAATTTGTGCTACAATTTCTGAGGCAATTATTTTTGTAATTTTTCGCACTAAAATACAAATAAACAATACAATAAAAGTAATAATTTCTCAAAGTTACCTTTCATTTAAATGAGTATATTCGTTTCTAATTCTTTGCAGTTTTTCTACGGATTTTCTCTCTTCCTGGCGATATATATGATAGTTGGAAGCGAGGCCGGTTTGCTATGCAATATCATCTGTTTTACTTATCCTTGCATCATTACTATTGAGGTATGTTTCATTGATTAATTCAGAGGATTAACTAATTCTTAATAAAGAAATGTATAGTAGCAGTTATGTATGATATTCAATAATTTATTTTAGGCAGTGGAAAAAAAAATGGAACATAAGGCGTACTTATTGTTGCTTTACTGGATAACATTGGGGTTTTTTACATTCCTGGATTTGTATGGTAAACAAATCATGAAAATTTTCCCACTCTACTGGCTCTTTAAGGTATTTCAGCGAAATTATTAATCCTAAATTTTAAACTACAGTAACTTATCAGTCGAAAAAAGAAAAGGAAATATGTCATAGTTTCTTCACATTATAAAACTGTAAAAATTGAAAAATAAGATGAACTTTCAAATCTATGAAAGTTATTAAATAATTGAGCAGATTATTACTAATGTATTGCCATTTGTAATTAAAAGATAACAACGTGCAAAAATACAGTTTACTGCAGAAATTTTGTCTATACAAGGATTGTATGCTTCTCCCGCCTAAATCTTAATAAAGTTTTATACTGAATTTTCTCTTTCTATATTAATAACTTAATGGGTTTGCAATCATTGACTGTCTCAAATGAATACAGAATAATATATTTGCAGAGTATCTTCTTTATGTATTTGTATTTACCACAAACCGAAGGTATAAAAGCTTTCAACAAAAAGGTCATTCAACCAATTCTGAAGGAAATAACCAAGCATACAACAGAAAAAGCTCCGTGATAATAATTTTAGTGACACTTTAATTTTTTTAATTATGATAACCATTTTTACTATACTTATAGAAATTGAACTAAAATAGTCAATTACTGAATCATACATTTCATTCTGTAAATTGTGTTTTACATGTCAATAAAAATAATAATGACTGTATACCAATTACTAATTGTTATATTTTTATCCATCAAAAGTTAAAATGATTTATTATAAAATTCATTAATAGATTTTATACAAATGCAATTGATTCTCAGCAAAAATTTTTCAAAATTACAAGTGCTAATGATAAGGGAGTCAGTGCTTTAACTTGAAATTTAGGCTTTTAAGGTTGATAAGGAGGAGATGCACTTACTTTAATACTTTCTAAGGTAGTATTCGTTACTGTATAAGACCGCATTTCCGCTGTTTACACATAAAGTAAACGTAAGTAAACGTTCGTAAAATCGAATGTTACGAAGGCAAAAATGCACAAGTGGTAATTACAATTTCATACAAATTTTGCTGAGTCACAAGACATGAAATGCAAATTTGTCTGTTGGCAGATATTTTTTCGCCTATTTTGTTGAAAATAACTAGTTTGATAGCTTACTCTTTCCATATGGAATTTATTCTAATGATATAAGTCATAGTACTGTATTCTGCTTTTAAAGTACTCTACAACTTTTTATCACAGTATTCAGTTTTTAATGGTATTTAGATGAAACCAAAGATTGACTATATCTTGTAAGCAAAGAATATGACCAAACTCCAACAATGAAAAATTTAGGTGTCTACTGTGACTTACGTCAAATTACGTGGTGGAGTAATACTAGACAGTTAGATACAAATTAACGTAAACTATCGACACGCAAAAGATTAGCTTTCACATACTTGGTAGGAATTTGCTAACTTTACATAGCAAATTTTAAATTACCAAGGTGTGTATTGATTTTCCCGAATAATTATTGATTAACTTTAAAATGGACCGTAGAAGGCGACGATTTCTTTTAAAACATTTTATTTGGTTAAGATCAGAATCATATTTAAAAAATAACAAATTAGGATTAGGGTGCAATTATAACATTGATTACTGTATAAAAAATTATCGCTATAGTTTTATGCAAGATGTCCCTATGATTGTTAAATTTTTAAATGGCGCTTATGCGGTTGGTTTATTTTAAGCATCGACCTCAAGGACTGACCTTTCTGATATCAATCTAGAATACAAAGAAATTGATTCACGAATATCGTGGCATAATTCCAATAACAACACATGGATGACGTCACCCTTGGCTGACCAAGCAACATCATGTGACATCTTCTGACCCTTACTAACTACGTGCCATCCTTCATTGGTCAAGATCTATCCAGGAATAAACATATGCTAGAAAGTATTGTTGTATGTCGTGTGTTCGAAGTTTTTGCAAATCTTGCTGTAATAACTGCTTAGTTTCATATCTCACCGCACAACTAACTATTTATTTGTGCATAGTTTTCATATTTCTCGTAATTTTTTGCAGTAATTATATTATAATATTCACACTGTTATCATTAATATTTTTGTCGTTTCTTTAATTTAGAAATTTTGTGTCGCAGTAGTATCTTTTTTTTGATTTGCCTTTTTAATTGCTACAAATTTGAATTTAATTAATACTTTCAACTTATTACAAAATTGATTTTCTTGTTTTCATACAAAGTAGTTTGTTCTCTTCTGCCTAATTTACTAACTTATACGGATCATTGTTTACTGATTTTCAATTTTACAGTTTTAATTACTTTGGTTTCAGGATATTTACTCCAACGTTTGTTTTTTTTCGCGCTGATCGTGTCAGAAATTTAGCATAATTTGTAAACTATCTAAGATATCTGCTTACTATTCATGCATATTGTAAGCAGATATCTTAGATAGTAAATAAATAAAAAAACTTACAAACTACTTATATGAAAACAAGAAAATAGTTTTCTTATTCATGCATATTCTATTCATGCATATTGTAATCTGCAGGTAAAATGTCACTGTCGTGAAGTACTGTGTCGGATGCTGTTGTTTGAAAGTGATTTTTTTGATATTTATGGAAAGCCGATGAAAAATGGTGCTAACAGCAATACTTTCGATGGTTCGCTATGTCGGCGACATCGATGATCGAGATTTTGTAGATCGTTTACACAGCTATTTCACTACCAATATACTTATTGCCTTCGCTATCCTTGTCAGCTTCAAAGTAATGCTTTTTTACTTTCATTAGCATGAGAGATATTATTGATTGAGTGCAAGATATTATTAGATTATAATCATAGAATTCAATATATCCTTGCGCTAGTGTTATTTTGAAAAGAACATTTCTAATTAATAGTTTATTATTCAATTAGACTTTTATTTTTCATGTTATTCATTAATGTATTTTCGAATTATCTTCATAATTATTAGTGTATTACTTTGCTTAATTGTTTCTTCACCTCGTTGTTTTAGAAAATCCATAGCTTACTGCGCAATTGCATCTTATCGTAATTGGAGACTCGAATTGTATATATTTTTGAGGTTATTAAAATATTATAGATTACTTTTGTGAAAATTCTTGCTTGCTTTCTTCTTTTATAATTTTTGGTTTTAGCAGTTTGGTGGAAAACCAGTGGAATGTCTGATACCTGATACATTCAGTGGAGCTTGGGAAAAAGTAAGTGTTGCCGTATCTTTCCAATTTTTCTTCGGAAAATTCATCGTTATTTACAAAGATGAATGATTCGAAAGTTGATTTCTACTTTCAGTTTATTGAAATAAATGGTTTTGTCTGATTAGTTGTCAGATGGTGATTCGCTGTTTGCTGAAAATCTTTTCTTAAAACTTCCTATTTGTGTTTAAATAGAAATTGAGTTCAAGTTTGTTGCTGAAAACATTATAATTATTACTGAAAGCATTATATTTATTTTCTTTTGTCCAGATTTATATGTTTGCTAATTTTTTGAAGGATTCCAGGTTTTAAATATGTTATTTCTTCTCTCAATATGAAGCTTTATTCAAAACTAAAGTTGAATTATGTGGATAACCACATTTTTTGTTTATTTAAGACAGTAAGTAGATTATAAGCTTTGAACGCTTTTTTTGTTCATGACTGTACAGTTTTAAACTACAACTGTGATATTAGTGATAGTAATTTTTACAGTATGCAGAGAATTACTGCTGGGCCCAAGATACATATTACATACCTATACGTGAAGTTGTTGCTGGTATGCCGTTATCAGAAAAGAAACAACGACGCATATCTTACTATCAATGGGTGCCGTTTTTTTTGCTTCTCGAAGCAGCATTTTTCCGTTTGCCTAGTGTAATATGGAAATACATGGCAGGACATTCTGGTATGATTTTAAATGTATATAAGCTCTTGACACAATTCAAATCAGCATTTAAAGGAATTTGAATGGGAGAGTTGATTTATTTATTTATTTACGTACAATCGCATTCAAATTTTATCACGGCCTTATTTAATTTTTCTTCAGTGTTGAACTAAATAATACGTAGCTAACTATCAACTTGTAATCTACTATATGCTGATTATTTAAAGCAGTTAGTAGATAAAAAGCTTTGAGTACTTTTTTAAGTTAAAGTTGAGTTCTAAAAAATGCCCATAATATGGATCTGTTATCTCATAAGAGTTCACGTGCATTACAGGCATCAAACTACATGAAATTGTAAAATTAGCTTCGGATCCCAATAATATTAAACCAGAGATAAAAAAAGCTAATATCAAAGCACTTACTTTGCATCTGCAGGTGGGTATCTAGTTAATTAAAAAGAATGTCTCGAAAATTACTCATTTAATTTAGTTGGTTCTAATGAATTTTAGATGTCATTTTTAGGGAGCTTTAAGATTTCATCGAAGACTGCGTAAAAAGCAGATTAATCCGCATGAATATTTGAGGATACTCAATATACCTTACACGGCATCATTCGTCACTTATATGTATATAATGACTAAATTTGTCTACCTTTCAAATGCTTGTATTCAGTTACTTATTATGAACAAGTTAGCATATTTCAAATGAATTTTTCTTATCTGTATATTGAATTTGTAGGTGCTTATGATTGTGTCTACACTATAGTAATGTTGTTTACAATACCCGCTTAGTTTCAGTGAGATAATTGAAATATTATTGGCATTTTGAATTAAATTATGATCAATGAATGCTCTTAGTCGGTTGAGATAAAAGTTTTAGGTTTCTAGAAACAGACCATTATAACTGGTATGGTTTTGGAGCAGTACTTGATCTTTTGCGAGGTGCAACATGGGAACAATCTGGGATGTTTCCACGTGTATCACTATGTGATTTTGATGTGAGTTTTACATTTTTCGTGAAATTTAAATAGTTCTAGAAAATGGAAATATTTGACCGAATTTTTATGATTATTTTCAGGTCCGTGTAATGGGTAACATTCAACCGCACACTATTCAGTGTGTTCTCGTTATCAATATTTTTAACGAAAAAATTTTCATATTTTTGTGGTTTTGGTATGTTAGTACGATAGATTTTTGTATACTGTATCAGAATGAGTAACTATTTTTAATCTCTTTATTACTGGAAGTTTTAATTTATTTTTTCGCTAAGATTCATTATTGCAATCTACTATTTAATGAATGAATTGCTTATATTTTTAATAACAATCCACGTCTCATACCATTCATTTTTTAAAAAGTTCCAGAAGTTTTTATTAGTTTTAGCATATTACTACATACAACATAAAATTATATATATATATTTTGTTCAGATCTCTTTTTCATGATCAGTAAAGTGGCACCATTCGTTGCAGGTATTTGATCTTAATATGTTTTACAACTGGTAGTTTAGTTTACTGGATTGGAATATGTTTAATACCGTGTCCGAATCGCAACTTTGTTGTGCGTCATTTGGAGATGAGTGAATTGCCATTTGATTTCCAAGGTAAGATTTCGAATGTCGTTTTCTTCAATTTCTTTAGATTTGAATCACGAATATATTCATTCTCATAGTTGTTTCCAGTTCCAGAAAAAATTGCTGAATTTTCAGTACTTTTAAAAACTAACTCGTCGAAATTAATATCTTCCTGATGCAATACTTATTGCTGGTTTTTTTAAATCACCAATTTAAAGACCAATAATATGGTTTACTTTAATTTTTCTCCAGCGTCTTGGAAAAAGTGTCAAATGCTTTCCACAGAATAAATAATTTAAAGTAGTAAGACATAAATAACTCCACAATTTATGAATTGAAGTTAATTGTGCGGTTATTCATATCGCGAAAATTGAATCAAAGATATTGAAGTGGTGAGAGACATTCAAGAAACTTTTCCTTTCTTATCACTTGATTACAGAAAGCAAAGATGACGTGGAAAAATTCATAAGTTATTTAAAAAATGATGGCATGTTTGTTATCCGAATGATAACGGTTCATGCTGGTGTAATTTTTGGCAATGAACTGATTTATGCTCTCTGGAAGTCCTATTTTGGAATTGAATCCCAAATTAGACGCTGTAGCTCATTTCCAGCTAGTGCTATAATATGGACACCTCCTGGAGGTAATACTTCAGATATACATAAGCTAGACTATTTCATGGACAAAGTTGTTATTTTTACTTATTTAAATATGAAAAATTCTCTTTTCGTGCTTAATTTGATTCTTGAAAAAAAGAAAACTGCAGTTTATTTGCTTTAAAAACGTTATTGCCTACTTATGCAATGCTGCTTTTAAATTCCATTTAAAGGTTTAAAGTTTCAGATAAACGTCCAGATGATTTTAGTCTTATTGGTGACAATAAATCAAATTTAGAACTACGTCAAACTAAAATTGAAAGGAAACATGGAGATGATTGTGTTGTACTAGAAACTGTTTTGGATTCTCATTTTAATGAAGAAGTGCCTTTAATGTCCACGGAAAGTAAGTATTATTTAACTTTTAACTTACATTATCTTAGATTATCTTAGAAAAAAATATATTATCTTAGATAGATGTTTTTCTACTAACTGTTTCGTTTGTGTCTTGTTCTTCTATAGGTACATACACACTATTTTTCTAAATCATAAAATTATTTCGCTCTTTTTTGTTTCAGTTATAGATCTTAATCATTTTTTTCTAATTTTTTCAAATTCTCTCATCAGATTTGTTGACTGCACAATGTTTTCGAAAAGTTTGAGCGAGTTTAAATGTATACTTATATTTTTACAGATGGTTCGCTTAACTATGTGTTATTAAGCAATTGTAACATTACAAATGCTTCAGGTTCAACTAATCCATCCCGAACTTTCAAAAGTACTTCGTCGCAGCTTCTAAAAAATGATGAAAATTTGTTGATACAACGTAAAGCAACTGTTCCAGTGTCTTCACCTTATGATTCTGGTAGTCCAGTAAATAAGAAAGCAAATTATATCATCTAAAATGTTTAAATTAAAGTGGTACTCTATTCTGTTTCTGTGATCCCACACACTTTATTCTGTCATCCCGCACATATTTTCGCATGATAAGTTTTCATGGTTTTTGAAATATGAAAATCTTAAAAATTATTTCTAAGCGAAATTATTAAATTTTATTCCAGCTGTAACTTAGCCTTACAAAGCATCTAGTAACTCTGCAGTTTATATTTTTGGTTGTGATTGTTTCTTACTTGCATATTTCAGTTTTTTCTAGAACTATGCTGATAGTCAAAAATCAGTATTCATATTTTTTTGTGAATAACAGTTTATCTGATTTCTGTGCACATTTTCTTGAATTACAATTAATTCTGCAACTTTGATTCTCTCGTGATATTAAATTTCAATTTTTCCTTCACTTTCACTTTTGTATAGTGTTGTATTTTGTACTACTTTTATCTGGTATTGGATTTTTTAATGCATAATATCCTATTTTTCTACTTCTGAATGTATTTAGACATTTTTCATTTCTAGCATCAATAAGAAAGAAGAACTCCTTAGTGAAGTTTCCAGTAATCGTACTGATAAAATATCAACTTGAAAATTAGGTTATTATATCGATTATGATGCTTATGTTTGTTAATCGTTTCAAATTTACTTCCGTTTTTCCAGTTTTCATTCCTTTTTTGGTGAATTACTTTGTGTTTTCAATTCTTATGTGCCTCTTTTTTGCTTCTTGCAGTGTATAGAATCACTGATGAAAGCAATGCACACATTTGTAGCCTTTTATGTTTGATATGTGATTGTGAAAATTCATTCAAAGTTTCAAAGAATCTGAAATCTTGATTTGTCGTTGAAATTTCGAGATTATGCATTTTGTCAATTTTTATGTCCTACTTTTTTCCTACTTTTTTCATAAAAAAGCGCTACTTTTTTTCATAGTTTGCTTTTCTGTTGACGCATTACAATCATAGCAGAAACTTGTAGAAATTTAGATACTTCTAGAAGCCTTCAACATACTTTCATTTGAATTGCAAGTAAATTGCTCTTGACTTCAATTGCAGAAAGATATTTGCATAAGCCTTACTTTGTAATGCTTCTAAGTTAAATTAAGAACAAATAAGTTTTGACTGTTATTGTTTGATAAGAACCAAGGTAAGGTCGTTTCTAGGAAGTAAGGCTCCAAGAAGTACAGAAATCTTTGCGTGCAATTGTAGTGAGCTGAATGTTTTGGGAAGATTAAGGATATCAGTAATTTGAATTGAAGTTCAGGCATTCATATTTAGCTAAATTGAGCAGTGCTTCAAGAATTGATTTGATGAGCTTTGTCCCAACATGATCCATTAGAACAGTCTAGGTCGGAATCTTATGTTATGCATTCTACATTATCTCATTCACAACCATCTATGTGGGATTCAACGAAGTCAAAAGATATGCAAGTAGAAAAAGTAAGATTAAACTGATAACTTTTCAACGTATGATCAAAACAAAAAAGCAGAACAAATAATGCATTATCCGTCAGCGCTCGTGTTGTTTTCTTTTCAAGTTAATTCAATCGTAATCGAAAGTAAAACGGCTTATATTCCTTAGATGGCTTAAGTAATCTTCAGTACTTTATAGTAAGTTCGTAGTGAATCTTTGTCTTTGACTATGCATTATTTTTTCTTTACTCTCCATGAAATAGAAGAAGACGTTTTTGAGCTTTAAAATTTTGCTTATTTAAGCAAAATTTGTATAATATTTTATTGTGAGGTTAAATTTTGGTTAGTTTATGTTGAATTTGAACGAATTATTAGCATTGATTCGTGAAAAGAATAAGTTTTTAGTATAATTAATTACTTAAGTCAGAGTCAGTCACTCTGTACATTTGTTCAGCAACAGTTTGTTGCAGCCTAAACTTTTTTCGTTGGAAGCAACAGAAGATAATCGAGAGGAATTAATCACAGCAAAAGAAACTTCCAGTACTCAGTTAAAGGTTTCTGGTGTTAACTCTAACTTTTTTAAACTTAATATTTGTGCTTTCGAATATTTGTTTGGGCTAAATTAACTTGCAAATTCATCCTTTTTTTATAACTGATAAATTCTTTAATGTGGCAACGCGATTTGATTTTAGAATTCGTTCAAATTCAAGTCTCCAGCTATTTAGCTACAAGCCTATGAGTGATTTAAATGATATAACTAATTTCAAGTAGGATTTAGCAAAAGGTAACAGAAGAGACTGAAAAGACTAGATGGGTTTTTCCACCACTGGATGATGCAAGTATCAGTGAGTCGGAATCAGAAGCAGCAGATACCAATCAGTTAGATTCTTCACAAAGTCATGAAGTCATTCATCATCGAATAAAAACATTTTCTCGAGAACAGCTAGTTGAGCGTCAAGTACCTGTGAAGGAGCATCAGATAGTACAGAAGCAATGGAAGGAGCAACAAGGGCAGTATCAGGCACCAATGAAAGAACATTTAGTGAAGCAAGAAGAGCACCGGGTTATGGTAGAACCATGTCCTGTGCAACAGAAGTTGTCTTACGAAGCCACGAATACTCCAGTTTTAATTGACAGTTGTCAAGTGAAAATGGAAGAGCATCGCATAGAGTTAAAGCCATGTAAAGTCAAACAGGAAGGACTCGAGATTCATAAAGAAGTGCTTAAGCGTGAGCTGCAAGAGCTGCATGTAAAGCCTGAACTATGTGAGTTGGAGCAGATTGAACTACCTCCATCTCAACGATAAGTTGTATATTGTAGATTGAAAATACAAGAGGAATTTTTCACGAAAAATTTACATCTCACATATGCTCTCTTCAAGGCTGATGATATATGATATCTACAGTTTGACTTTCTTACCGCTGAATATCTATTGGATTCTACGAAGAATTCTCTCACCGTTTCCATTTAATCATTACTTAGCTGTTATAAATTGTATTATATTTATTCTATGCGATTCCGGTCGTGGCTTTTATTCTATACTATTCTGGTTGTGATAAAGTTAATGCGATATGTTGATTTTTTTACTTCACGTTAGCGAGCAGTATTTTTGAGAGTTAGGTAATTCTTTGGTAGAAAATATGCAGGAATGAACTTTGACATTTATCTAACATTTTCTATGTATGATTGTCAGTGAACAGAGCAGATGGTAGATATTTATGACCTGTTGAACTTTATAGAAGTTATATTATGAATTTCGATGAACATGAAAATAAAAGACGTGACGTAATTATCGGTGAATACATGTATCATTAAAATCTTACAGAATAACGTTACTTTTCCAGAGTACTTCATGTCTTGACTTGGTTAGCACATTGTTATCACTATTTTCAAGAATTAGTAAAATATCCGTCCTATGTGTGATGATTGTAATTTCCCCAACTTATATTTCTGTTTGAAGTTGACTATTAATGCTAATCAAAGTATTACAAGACATGAAAGACATATCGAGATTGCCGGGATTAGCAAGAGATATGTTTATGTAAATTAGCATATGTTTTCGGTGACAACACTGTAATCTCTTTTAGTATTTATAAGCTTTTGTAATGAGCTTTTGCACATTATAGGGGCTTTATTTTGTTTGGATATCTTCTCAAATATTTGAGAAATTAATAAAAAATGCAAAAGTTTTGTTATTAGCATTTACTTGCTAAACACAAAAAGTTGAATAATAAATATTTATATCAAAAATTGAGCAATCAAACGAAGCTAAAAAATTTATTGGACAATTTACAAATTTCAAACATTTCAATCACAATAAGAACGAAATTAGTCTTACATGTAACTGATCACTGATTGATTCCAAATCATTCATGATTGATCATGTCAGTTAAATCATTGAAATTTAAAGTATGCCTATAAAATACCTTTATCTAAATACCTTTTTAGTATGCCTTTAATTTTCAACTCAATTTTGACATAGATATATTAGTTATTGGAAGGTTTAATAAAATTTAGTGAAAAATAGATTATGCAAGACTTGATAAGTATGCAACAATTTCACATAAACAAGAAAGTATTTTAACGGAACTAGAAGTGAAGTTGATCACTGATGGTAGGAAATGAAATTAATCGCTGAGAAATGAAACTGATCCCTGAGAATTGGATAAATTTTTAATTAAATTCATATTTGACAGGTTTATTTGTGCTCAAACTTACGACGATAAAGTTTTGGTTATTGAAAACGATTATAACGTGAAAAGTATGATATTTCCACAAAGTCCTTAGAATAATCTAGTCCCTGCTTCCATCTAGTTAAGAAGGTCACCATCACCATATTTTGGAGCTAACGGTAATTTATAGTTCAGTGGACCTGAGGTAGTTGTCAAGTCCAAATCCATATTACTTTTAACCTTTTTAATCACAGGGCGACTCAGTTCTTCCTAATTTTTTTAACCTTGCCGCTATTTTGCCTTAATTAGAGTATATCTTAATTAGTTTGCAGTGAATTCTGAAAACATCCCTGCATGGATGCATGAAGAAATTAATTAACGTTTCGTATTCACGTTAAATTGTCAGCACAGTTATACACGCACGCAAAAAAATAAAAAGCTGAATTAAACTTTTGCTTTAATATTCGTCAATAAATAAATTGTACAAAAAATTTTTGCAAAATTTGTAATCATTTTTATTTTTTGCTGAAGCAATTCGTTTTCTTCAAAATATCCTCTAATTTGTTTAAGTAACATTCATTACTGTGCTTTTTAACTGTAATTAATATTAACTGTAATTTTTGCTTTTTATTCTTATTAAAAGATAAATTTATTATTCACAAAAGGTTTAGTACAAATCTTTGTTTTTATTAATTGATAGATTGCACTAATATCTAAATCTCAGAATCAAGCAATTTCGCTTTTTAATCCCACAATTTTGATGCAGATTTCTTGCTGCTAAATCTGATCTAATGATTGGTCCCTCAAAAAATACTTCAGGTAGATTAAAAAGTTACTGAAAACAAAGAAATCAAAAGAATAATCAATACTTCTATGGAGTCTATAATAACACGTTATTTTTAATCACAACTTCCGCTCCCAATTTCAAACTGCACCGGAAATCTTGAAAAAATCTTACGATCATGCGTGTGATAATGTGATGATCCTAATTTAATGCTGATTATGCCGCCCTGTCATTTATGCATCTTTGTAGTTCTTTTTAATAAATTATGCGGATAATAAAAAATAACATTCTCACGTGTTTTTTTTTTTTGGAATTCCACGTATTTTAAAGTCATTTTCAGGCATTTCTCATTTCTCACGCAATAGTGAAATTGAAAATACCATTACCCGAATTACTGTAGCATTCACCTTTCATTTTTTGTACAATCTATTAGACAGATATTCGACCAAATATAGAATTAGAAAGTGGAATGCAATAATTTATGTTTACATAATCGGTTAAAATAAAAAAGGAAGATATTTGTTATCCACAGGTGTTACTCTTTCAACAAACTCTTCAAATCTTTGTCATTTATTTTTTTTATTGGCCTTTTTTAATTAGATTAGCACTAATCGGATGGAAGCGTTTAAGCTTTACCATATGAAATGCCTTTTTGTGTTATTTGCTTGCGGTCGCTTAATCTTTGAACTTTACTGACCCTTATTACAAAGGTCATGCATCCAATGACTAACTAACTAATTCTTCGAAAAGTAAATAAGATACATATGTGCGCAATAAGTGCTACAAATAGTCTTCTGTTATTGTCTTACTAACATACACAAACTACGATAGCTTTGTAATACTTTCAGCACTAAACAAGAACTGAGAAATATACGTCAAAATTTTGACGTCGTTGTCAAAAATCAAAGTATTGAGTAAATAAAAAATTATTTAGTTCACATTTTTAATCCTCTTCTATGTCTACATTTGAACGTTATTTATCTCAGAACATGTGTCTAATGTCATATTTAAATGTTAATAAATATGGGTGTAGTTCACGTCAAATACAAAATGATTATTATCAGTATTTTTACTTTTTATAGCGTTTATTGCTGTCTTTGGCATTATTATCATGCCTGATATCGTTAGAAAATACTGCAAAACATGGATTATCTCAAGTGGGAAAGTACAACTGAGATTTCCCAGAAACGAGAAATGAAATTACCCAAAATGTATATCCACAATCCGTCAAGCAACAAAGGTAAAGATTTATTAACGTTAGTTCTGAACAAATTACAATTTATTTCTGAATACCCATTTCGGAATTCACACGTCCACACGTCTCACATCCTATATGTAGTATGACGCGGTCGGAAAATGTCCCACGAAACAAAACTGCCTTATTTTTGGTCTCGGTTAACTTACACCATTCTACATAAGTAATTCAGACTGGGGCGGTGAATTTAGTACGAAGTACTCCTCATCGACCAGCAGGACTCTGAACTAGCAACCTCAATCTTACCCGCATTGTCCCTCTGCCACCAAACTATTTAGACTCCTTTAATGCTTGGAAAACAAAACTAATTTGATCCATTAAAATGTATATTATCATATCTCTTACTATTGATTATCCGACTAATCTGTTTATTAATATTTCTCCTAATCACTTTTTTCTTCTAATCACTATTTTAAATATCCTTTTGAATCCTCAATCCTCATTATTATTATTACTGTTATTCAAAGAGTTGCAAATAAAATGTAACTTCTGCATAAAAGTTGTTTCTTAAGGGTGCAGTTGGTTTTGGTTTTGGTTTTGATTAAACTACATAAACAATAAACAATTGCGAATTCATGCTTAACAAAATGATATCTGAACTTTACTACTTCACTCCCTTTCTTTGTATAATAATAAATCCACCTGTGTATGCATACTAATCTCTTACGTATTAATCACTCTGCATAGTTTTTCTACAAGTCATTAATCATGAAGTATCGTTGTATAAACTTTACAATTTTAACATCAAAAATACACTTTAAAATAAATTTGAAAAAATATTCAAAACGAAACGATTTATTTTAAAAAAAAAAAAAGCACAGAATTGATGAGATATTCTAATAAATTCAAATTTTCACTTTACATTTTTTACTTTTTCATCTTTTCAAAAAGTTTAACAATTGCTGTAATTTATTTTAGAAAACTGTGAGAAAATTTGCAGCTTCACACGTGTTACACTACCACGCAGATTAGAGATAAATTTTTTCCGGCAACCTCAAAGCAAATTATTATTCTCGGAGATCAAAAAAAGAAAATGGATGAGAGAACTTCCGCTAAATTATTTCGCGCATTTAAGTAAATTTATTACCTAACAAATAATTACATCATTACTACTACTGACAATTTTAAAAGAACACTATTCTAATATCAGCTATTTATGAATAGATTGAATAGATTTTCGCGCTTTTAATTATAAATAAATTCCCAGAAATAATTCTATAGCAGTATTTCCTTCCTTTAACAGAACATAATCAGTAACCTTTGATCTTACATATAAATAGATAGATAGATAAATAGATAGACAGGTAGATTGATAGATAGTTCTAGCTATCCAGCACTTATTAACTGAGAACTTGAAAGACTTATTCTCGCATCACAACGCACCATTTATGAAGTACCAATTTAAATTGACCACAAGAAAATTGTTTTTTATTATTTGTGAGTTCACTCGAAATTAAGCGGTCACCTCAGTGCATATAATTAAATGATGACCCATAAGATGCAATTTATTTATTTATTTATTTGAATAATTTACCAATTTTTGAAAAATTCGAAAAGTTCAACAATTATGAAGAACTGAATGAAATTTAATATGCTCGCCGCACATCATATCATTATTAAATCAGCAAAAACAAAACAAGCCAATTTCGTTTGTGGAGGCACTTTGAACTTTATCACTACTATTATTTTGCCATTCAAAATGTAAGAACAAAAACACACGTAACAAAAAACAATTACGCAAAAATTTTACAAGTGAAATATGAAACAAAGCAAGAAAAAGCCTTACATTGCTATTTTAATAACGAAAATAAAAATATTTACAAGGAGTATGCAAAAATAATACTAAAAAAGACACAATCAAACAAGACACAACGTTTTTCAGAAGCAAAATTGAGTGTCATACTTATTCTTGCCTTGCGCCTCAAAAACACATTAATTAACGTTTGCATAAATAACTTCAAATCCAGAACAAGTTACCTCCGTTCAGGACGAAAATTTAGTTGCCTCAAGCTTAGTTTCCTTTTTCTGCTCGATAATACTTTGCAGTTAAAATAGTACCTAAATTTTGAGGATATAATCAGAAATCACAATCATTAATGAATGATGCAAACCAAAAACCTATTTACATTTATTAATAATTAATAGCATAATTTCATGATTATTATCTTGTATTCCAGCAGGTTGCTGAAATAGTTCACATATAAATTCCTTGAACTAACCAATAATCTCATTTAATGTTTATCTTGACAGAAGCGATTCAGACTTTCCAAACTAAGCATTCTAACTTGGATTTTGAATTCATTTTCGAAAATATACCAAACGAAAACACAATCTTCAAAACTATGATTGCAAATTAGCAAAAGTATAAAAAGACTTGTGTTTTCACGAAAAAGTGAATTACTGTCAAGCGATCATTATAACAAATTGTAATAATCATAAAAATGATTTAAAAACGAACATATAATTTTTCAAAATTACAGTGAAAATGAAGGAAGAAACAGAGAAGCGTAAACTGAAACGAATGCCAAATTTATGAACAACATATATATCCTAGTACTAATTAACAACACTCATCACAGCTTCACGAGATCTTTTTCGAAGTGGTATTTTAGCAAACACTTTTGTACTGCAAAACGTATGAAAATGAATGAGACCTAAATTTATTTAAAAAAATAAACTGTATACAGCACTTATAGTATGCTTTATTTATTTCCATTTGAAATTTCGAAAGAATAAATTATTACCACTACGAAAATACGTGTAATCAAGTAAACTTACAGGCACAATATCTGGAAAAACAAACGAGATCCAATTAAACACAAAATTAATATCAATATCTTAGAACCGTGTGGATAACATTTAAACATTTCAAACTTATTCTTTTACGCTGCAGTATATACTTGGAAGCACAATTAAATGTGATGTGAGTAAGTGATTGATACACTTTCTTAATAAGCTTTCAGATACCAAAAAGTTGTTAATAATGACAGGAAGCAAAAAAGCTAATTAAAATGAAATCACCCACAGAAACAATTAACCCAGAAGGCAGTTTCTCTGACTTACTTCAATATGGCGTAATATATGCGTTGTCAAAGTAGCCCTCCAATGCTTTGAGCTCATAAGTGAATGGAGTCAATAACCATTCATTACTACTGCAAAATGTTACAAAAAATAAATCATAAATTAGTTTGAATATCAGTCACTTTGTAATTCATATTCTGTAACTGCGTTTCCGGGTGACCATCTAAATTTGATGAATGGTTGACATTTGATGCACCCACTTTGGTGTGTCTTTCTCGCTGTACAACCATTTCTGGTACTGAAGACTCATCATCAATTTCTTCGTAATAACTGTCACCATCCTTCGATGATTGCGTAGGTAAAGTTACACGTGTAACATTGGGACGTCTCGAGTGCCTCAAGTCCATCTGAAAATAATAAAATATATTAATAGTAAGCAATTTATTTATTTATTTACATTAACACTATTTGCGCAGAAAATTTTAAAAATCAATATTACCATAAAAAATAAAGATAACCTTATTGTAGTATCCCATATATTCATTTTGATTTAACGGTGGTTGTATCACATTAATAGTTGGCTCAATAGCATAGCGATTAGAATAATCAAGGCTATTGCGATTAGGATGAGATAGCCGTTTCTTATCAGATATCTATAAATGTTCCAAAAAATATGCATGCATTATATAACCTTTAAAAAAATATTTCTGAGTACTGTACAAGCAGCATTTTAGTTTCTAATGATCTGACTGCAACTACTGATTTCAGCGCAAAAATATGAACCAACTCCATACGTTTAATCTGATACAAACTTTTTCCTTTAATCATTTTTGATACAAATTTCAATTCGCTTTAGCTATAAATCATCTATTTTACTGTTTAATGCATCAATTTTAAAATTAATGTATAAGTTTCAAAATAAAATAAAAAACGAACTGTTGCAGAGTTGTTTGTTTCTGCACGTTCGAAATAACTAATTTCCGTGTTTGAGCCTGTACGTTTATTTAAGCACGCTTTTTGTTCCGAATATTTTGAAAGTCTTTTTGAATTTAAATCATTTTGCAAAGATGGATCAGTTGTGGATGTTCTTCTCGCTATCTTTTGCCGATAAATAACAACAACGACAAATATTAATGCCAATACGGAAGATATAGACAATAATATAAGCACTAAGTCCTTCAAGTTTAATCCACTACTTGAAGTCTGAAATAACAGCAAAAAAGATTAAGTTTAAAAAGTAAAAAATTGTATAAAATTTTGAACTACAAAAAATTCTACTTTAATTCAGAGATTATCGCTCAAACTGATGTTACAGTAAGAAGAAAATACAAACAACACAATTATGAATCACATTCAATATCAAGTCTAACCTGTATTTCATTTTCTAACTTTATAATATATGCATTCGTGCGATTGTATCGATGAAGTGGACGACAACTTCGATCAAAATGCGAACAACTTTCACCGTAAAAGCATGGTGGACACAAACAACGGAACCCATGATCTGCATTAATGCATGTAGCCCCGTTTCTATAAATGCCATAAGTGAATTACGATACGTACTTACAACAGCAATGAAGCGATATTTAAAATGTAAGGAATTAAAGAAAGATAATTAATTATATTATAAAAGTTATAGATTTTATGAACACAAAAACTACACATTGTTTATGATTTATTCATATCTGCATAAATTCATTGATTTTTTTGGTTCAATAAATCATTAGCATAAGTATACCTGCACGGATTCTCATCACATCCAGATTTAGCAATTTCACAGTTAACTCCTTTGAAACCTTCAGGGCATGAACAAAGATATTTGTTATTTTTTAAATCACCGCAACGACCACCGTTCTTACAAGGTTTATTTTGACAAACATTAATGGAATGTTCACATAATGTACCACTAAATCCATCAGGACATTGACATTTATAATTTTTCACTTCATCAATACATCTTCCTCCGTTTAAGCATGGATTGTGCTGAAAGCCTCAATTTTTGGATAAATAAGATCAGTATCGACAAAACATTAAATACTAGAATTTCGCGAAAAGATCCTCAAATAAATTCGCTCAATCTCACGAGCGAGAGAAATAAAATAATATGTGTTTAGTATACAGCTGAAACATTATGAATTCGTTAAATTTTTCGATCACATTTAAGAATTTTAATAAAAGTATTTAAGCGGGAGAAGCCATTCTTATATAATTCTGTAAGAAATATGTCACTGTATAAAACCGTGGCACTCAATTTCACCTGAGCACACTCCTTAGCAATTTTTTCACAATGCTTTCCAGTAAAGCCAAGCTTACAAATACAGTCATATTCTCCAGTACCATTTCCTTCTACGCATTTCCCATCTACAATAAATAATCTGTGTTAGTTACAAAATAGGCAAACAGCAAAGCACACCATTGTTGCCTTTAATAAAAAGCGTAACAATGCAGTGAAATAAATGGCCTTGAAATAGAAGAAAAAAACTGTAGTGTTTCTTATAATTCCAATTAAAAGACAATTTAAAAAGTTGAAAATTGCAAAATAAGGCATAATAAAGAGTAAGGATTTCAATCGACATCCTCATCAATCCAAGGTTAATTTGGTCAATATGGCCACCCAACTTGAATTTTTCGTCTCTAATTGAAAATAAAAAAGCAGAGGAAGGCTAAATTGTTTCTACCTATCTAACTAACTTCAGCTGCAGGAGGTCTACACAATTAAATACCCTATTAAACTCCCATCACTGTAAACAACACAAAGCATTCTCTACGGCATCTTTGCTTTGAAATTTGGAATTTTAAAAGTTAAAACATCTCATTCAATAACAGGTCTCACTATAAACTTCTCTTGTTAATTATTGCTTTTTTTCTAAATGTGAAAAACACAGAATCCTTTTGCCACTCAGCAGGTGAATTAAATCAAGTTTATGCTATTCGCTATCCTTATTGTATCAACATTACAAAAAATAATGACTGCTCCGCAATTAACATTCCATTTAAACTATCCTATTTATCACCATTTAAAAATAGTGGTCCTGAATAATATAAATGCTACCTAACATATTTTGAATACTTAATGAATATACAAAGCAGAAACATTAAAACTAACCATTATAACAATGGATATGATCGCAGGTTCTGATCTTGATATCACAATTAGTTCCATTCCATCCTGGCATACATTCACAAAAGAAAAGACCACGGTTTTGAATACAAGTACCACCATTATGACATGGTGAGTCTGAGCAAGTTTTTGCAACAACTTGACAATAACGACCAGTATAGCCTTTTGGACAAATACATGTATAGTTATATCCCGGTATATACTAAAAAGTACAAATTACAATTTTCACGTAAACAAAAGGTATCGTGGAAATTATACTAGTATTAGAAGGCAATTGCAATTCAAAATTCATGACTCTGTCTAAAACATAAAAAATAATATGGTTACATACAGTGCAAATAGCTCCATTCATACATGATTGCGTCGAACAATTTTGAAGACGGATTTCACAATTTGTTCCTGTAAATCCATAGGGACATTCACATGTGTACTGTCCATGGCCTGTGTTTCTACATATTGCATTATTTTTACATGGCTGATGTCGCGAACAATAGTTCAAATCTGCAAGTGTTTATATTTTATGCTTACAATAAAAACGAGAAGAAAACTGTGCAGCAAATATCACTGCATATTTTTCTTGATTATTTACTCTGGATAATAAAGAAAAACAAAAGCAATATATTACCAACATCTGTACAAAAATATCAGCAATACATTACCATACAGTAATAAGCACAAAATAGATCCGTAGATAAAATGAGCGAGAGATAGAATGATAACTTTACCTTCAATGCAAAAGTGTCCTCCCCAACCTTCTTCACAAATGCACTGATTAGGCTGTCTACAAAAGCCATGTTTACAACCTGGATATTTTTTACACTGCAAATAAACAGTATGATACAAAATATAAGAGAGGTTCATAAAAAATTATTATTATTAGGTCTATGTTTATAAAATATTGAAGGATTCATATTGAATTTCACTGTTAATTTCAAAAAATACTAAGAGTAGTTACTTGATCACAGCTTGGTCCTGTCCATCCAGTTTTGCATCGACAAGAGCCTGGTCGATCACATACTCCATTGACACAGTTATCACAACGTGCTGAAATTTGAAAATAATGCTTAATAAACTTGAAATAAGTTCTCCTAGTAAAAACATCAAGTACCTTACACAGAGTTACCAAAAATACAATCTCAATATACACATCTTACACTCAATTAAAGAATAAGTATTTAGAACATTTGCGAATGTAAACATTTCCATTGCTAATTCAGTAGCCATTTCGTATAAATGCTAAGATCGAAAGAATACACACTTCAAAAACAAGAAAAAGTTTTCTTATAAAAATAAATAATCTCCGATTGCTATTTTAAAAAGCTGAATCGACAAAATTTTCTTTGATTAATCACTCACAAATTTTGAACTAATCCGAATTCACAATCATATCATCTCTTAGATAAAGAAAGTAATAACGTCATTTCCGACTTAAGGTTGTAACTTATTCCCAAACATACTGCAGAAATAAAACAATGACTAAGAAAGATGTAAAGAGAGATTTCCAAAAAATTGACTACCAATTAAAACTTGTTTATCATTTGTATGGAATTCAAAAATAAGAAATCATGATTTATGAGGGATATACAAGTGATAAGATATAAAAAGCAAATCAAAGTCTTATTATTAGGTTATAGTCAGTTCATAAGTCAGTAACTAATACGTCATCATCTATTGTTTAGATCAGTAGAATGAACAATAAAAAACAATAAAGTAGCATGTCATGTAGTGAGAAGAGCAGATGTCTGTACGAAATATTTTAATATAACATGGAGTTGGTATATATCTTATTTACCAACTATTCACTGTAGCTACTGAAAATTATGCAAGAAATTGTGACCTTTTGAACTTATTACTTAACAATACATTCAATATATTAGTCATTCATAAGCTATTCTTTTGTTTAAATTTACAAGTAACAATAAGCAGCTTAAAATTAAACCCACACTTCAGCAAAATTTGCATAAAATAGTGTGTTTATTAGTTAAATAAAGATCTATCTTTGCTAATTAATACTAAGTAAAATTAAAAAATACTGGTCATACCATTTACTAAAATAATCCAAAATATTGACAAGGGAGTATACTATGATTTGCATGTAAGTGCGATATATAAAAGCATAAATAACACTCTCACTGAGAAGTGCTCTATTTTTGAACTGTATTAGTTAAGTTCACAAACATGATTATTAAAAATGATTGAAGATGATAAATAATGTAAAAGAATATTTGAGAGATTTTCCTCATAAACTTGGAAAAAAAAAGGTGTTCACAAGAAATAAAATACATCTCATTAATAAATAGCAATATTTTGTGAAATAAGACAAATATCAAAAAAATTTCTTAGTAATCAGATATGAACATGCTTTTAGATTTGCTTAAGCTGACTTGTCCTCATCGTTTTGAATCTTTACACAACTTACGATAATCTAGTATTTAACCAAAATCTCTCTATTTCCTTTGAGAACAGCATGATGGTATGAGATAGATTATTATTAAAGCAAAAAATTCTACTGGATTAACCTTGCAAAGATAAAAATGAAAAGAAACCTGTATCACAATTTGCACCTTCCCAACCAGCAGAACAAGTTAGTGTACCATTTGAGTTACATTCGTAATGGCCAACGTGTCCAGAAATAGGTTGGCAAAATTTACTACATTGTGGTCCATAATAATCACTTGCACAAATTATTCTATAAGCGATGGTCATTCCAAATCCGCCACTATCAAATAACACTTTTTCAGTCCATTGAGCACTCGATGGTACATTTTCACGTTGAAAAGCATCGTCAAACATCAACTTTTTCATTTCTGAAATTCATCACTGAGTTAATACTAAAATACCGAAATATAAAGAATCTAATAGAGCCAAAATACATAATGTCATCGCTATTTCTTATTATTCTCGTCTTCTCCAGTTATATCCAAGTACATTAAATATAGTCATCACTTGTAGCGATTCTATTTTCATTAACTTTTTTGAATTACGATTTTTTTTTCAAAATTATCTTGAAACAGATCATTATATACCTCATACTGACAGGATTAAAGCAGTTTACTTGATCGATATGGTGAACACCTACTACATAATAGATTATTAAGACTTAGTAATGAAGGAGAGAAGTAATGAACCGCAAAGATTTCTCACTGATATACCTACGTGAAGGCGAACTATCAAAAAGATACCGTTCTAGATAAGCTCTTACCAAAGTGCTGTTTCCAGTAGGTTAATCCGATGTAAGCAATTATAGTGCACATGCACTACTGACATTTCATGCTTTTTTCACTCCAAAAATTATAAAAGCGTGTGAAGTAATAAATATGAGAAAAGAAAAAGCAATAAATTTTTTGCATTAACATAAATAATAAAATAAACATACTTCCATTTGTTCTCCATACTTCTGTTATCAGCTTGAAGGATTCCTAAAAACCAACTCATCAGTAGTAAGCAATGAAGCATTTTAATTTGCATAAGCTAATATGAAATTAAAAGCTCTTAATGTTCCAATCCGTCACATTTAACTTATTTAAATAAAATGCATAAATTCGTCTCCATTAAAGAAACACTGTATTCATTACTAATATACATAAATTACTTATCCCTCTACTGTAGAATTAGCCAAATAATGATCTGAATTTCTAATTGCACAATTTCAATCACATTATATGTGAGTAAACTTGTGCAAATATACCCTTCACTCTTTAATATGTTTATTTATTTCTGCATAATAATTTTTTTCTTTTTTAGTTCAAAGTTGACAATGCAATGATTGTCTTTTTGCTATGCATGGTAGAATAATGGCTGCGCAAACTTCTGCACCAAACACATGAATAATCTATTTTCACGCAAATCGTGGGAAAAACCTTGGAGGAAAGTAGAGACGCTAAATGATAAGATGCAGTTTACAAATAAAGTTGAATTTACGTTTGAATTCTTAGTTAGATAGCTACTGAATCTAATTCTGATATGATATGCAAATTATTATGACAATAACTCATCCCAGAGCTTCTATTTTTTCTTCTTAAATGGTACTTTTATGGATTCACTACAAATTCAGTACAAAATAATACAGTTCAATATTTACTGTTTCGGCTACCTTCATATTAATTACCAACTGAATAATGCCTGAATAGAACTGGACCTTTTTGCCAAGGTTTTTAAAGTTTACAAAAAACTTTTCGTAAAATCTGATTTTATTATTTCAAAGACTAAATAATGAGCAGGAAAATGTAACATACTGGCCAGCCAAATTTGAATTCAATTTTCGCTCCATTACGTAAACGTTCAGCATCACACGTAACTTCACCAAATGTGCAATCATTGTTATGACTGATATGTGTTTCAAAATTTTTCAAACAAATCCTAAACTCCGGACGCAACTCCACTTTCGGGTCAATTTTCAATGAAATTAGTCGTATCTCGAATGAACCAGCACAAGAACACTGCAACAATAACAATAAAATTATAGACTACATTAATCATCAAATGCAAAACATTTTTCTCAAGGCTTTTTTCTCCTTCATACAAGTTTCATTTCATAAAAAAAATAAGTACAAAAATTTTGGTTGTTTTCTATCAATACAAATGACAAATCGAGCAAAATTACTTTCCCACCACAAAAATGATTTATTTTTTTATCAATTTTTTCATGCAAGAATAGATTTTCTAATAGTACAATTGATGTCTGATTATTTTACTACGTACTTTTCCTCTAAATTTTTGTCCCAAATTTTGAATTCTGATTTTATTACCAATCAATTTTTACCTTTAAATAGCACAATCAGTCAATGAATGTTTGATTATAAACTCAAAAAGGTATATGAACTAGAGCGAGTATAATTTTGGCGCAAAAATATCAGTACTATTCTTTGCAACCAAAAATTAGCATTTACTTTTAATGATAAGTATAAGATTATTATTTCTGAAAAATAGTATTTCACTAAATAATGTGAAAATAATTATGCAGTACCTAATACAATATTTGGCATTAGCTAATTCATTAAAGATATTCAATAAAAAGTATTAAAAAATGATATAAATTGAGCAATTCAGTTATGTTATTAAATCATAAATTAATTCAATAATGGTGTCAGCCGTAAATAATTTAAAGTAATCCTACCAATCGGAGAATATTGTATCCCAAAATCATGATATAAATTGTCGATATCCGATAATGGTGCATTCTGGTGCTGCGATGAAACTCGCAGCGTCTGATCTGGTCGCTGCTTTTAATCAATTTCCAGATATAATGCCCTCAACAGATATAAAAATATCTATCCAAATTCGATACTTAATCAGAAATACGTGATGAAACAGAGAGGGGAAGTAAAATGAATAGTTATTACTTAGCTTAATTATTTATAAATATGTCTCCTGATTAGTTAATTGATTCCACTTTTAATAATCAGTACGCAATAATCAATGGTAGTGCTTCTGTTGCATTGCAATACGTAGCACTGAAAATTATGCACAAATATTTATAAATTTTGCTATAAAAATATAACTAGCAAAATAATACTATACTTTTTGCAAAAATCTGCACTGTACAGAAATACTACCAAAATTGGAACATTGCTATTGATTCATCGGATGAAAATTTTTCACGATTTTTATAACAGACGAAAAAATAAGCCTCAAAGCATACTTCATGAATCTGACATTTTGAAGTGTGCAAATAAATGAATGGAGCAAACTTACTACAAAATAATTTGAATACACAAACTGCTTTTTTCAGCTATAGATGAGCAGTTTCTTTTGTTACTAATTAATTTCTTAATTATTATCTTATAGTACATTAAAACAATGTCAATTTTGTACAGCAAAATGTAATGTTTAGGATTGTACAGTTACTAAAGACAGTTCCAGAACAATTACTCTTACTCATGGCAGAATTTTTCGATCATGTAAAAAATAAAAAGGATTGTATAAATGCCAGACAAATATGTGCCATATCCGCGCTCTTTTTCTACCCCTAAAATTATTCATTTTCATACATATTAGATCCGTTAAATATCAAAAACATACCAATTTTCTTGTTTTGCGATTGTGCTGTATTTAATATTGAGATATTACGATTAGTTTTTACTTAAATAAAAAGCTTACACAGTAACAAATAAAAGTTATCACTGCTATATTTTTTGAAATGAACAACAAAAGATTTTCTGAAATCTGAAAGTCTTCAAACTTGTGATATTATAAGGTTATTTTATTGAGCCAAAAAATTAACACTAAAAACAGTACAATTATTTTGTTTACTTTCAGAGTGTGTTATTTGTTCCCATACGACCTGAATTATACTTTGCATTACTAAAACAATCTGAGAAAAAATCTTAGATTATATATTCACAATTTCTTACTCTATCAACAGTACCATTCGAAACTTTAATTCAAATTCATTCACAGTCAAAAGTGTTAAATCTTGCTGTTTACGTGAAATATTGTTATAGTAACTCTCAAAAATGAAAATTATCACGTCGCATAAAGTGAATAGTTTTCAAGTTTTAAAACTAGCATACAAAGGAAAAATCATAACGAATTCGTAAACAATTATTAAAAGCTCAATAATTAAAATTCAAAAACTACTGGGAAGCAGTTAGAAATGACAAAATATGAATATTAAATCAAATAGTTAAACAAACACTTCATGAAAAATTATGCAAAATTTGCGAAAAAGTGCAGCTTTTGATTCTGCAAAAGATGTATTTTATGCCTTCAAACTTTAGGTATATGACGTAGATGCGTGTAAACTCATTCAACTATCTAAAACAATACTAAATTGATTATTACAAATTTTGCCTATTTTAAGTACAATAAAAAAAGAGTAAAAACTTATGTTTTATAGTTCAAACCGTCAACGAATCATTTTAATGTTTGAAAAATTACTTCACAACTTTGTCACTATTTAAATGAACAAATTTTAACGTTTTTTAAGTATTAAGATTCAAGCAGAACACGTGTTGTATGCTTTTAACACGTGAGAGCATCAAATAGAAACAACGTGAGCGCATCAGATAAGAACTATCTAATCGTTTATGATAACATTTAAGAATGATTGAATAAATCTTTTCAATAAAGTATATAATTTTGCTTCTTTTATTGTTTTTGATGAGAAAATTTGAAAAAAGAAATACTCACAAAAGTGAAAATGTATGAAAATGTGATAGATTTCGATCAATAGTTTCACACAAAGATAAAACGTAAAAACGTCAAAAACGGTAGTGATTTCCAAATGCAGCAACATTTCACAATTTTAATTTCACGCTTACTATTAAATTTTGCTTGCAACACTTTTACGGACCAAAATCATTTACAATGTACAAATTTAGAAGAAAAAATTCAAAAACACTTAGTGACAAAATTTTTAGCGTAAAAATCAAAAATGGTAGAAGTGATTGAGTAAATAAGTAAGTATTTTATTGTACTATATTAAGTTAAGAAAAAGATAGAAAAAACTTAAAGATCATATAAATGAATGACTAAAAGACAGATTATATAATCAAAATTACAACTTATGTGATATAATAGAGAAGACTTGATGACTTAATCATCGAAATAATAGGAAATGGATAAGTGAATAAACATAAGGAATGAAGCGAATGAATGAATCTCTGGCAGCAACCATCTTCGGCACACAGCCATCCGTCGCTATTTGTAGCGCCACGCCCTCAAAGGGTTAGACCGACTGGTTGACTGCCTGTGCGTAGCACAAGTGGGTGGGTGGATGAATGGATGGATGGATGAATAGATGGATGGGTGGGTTCAGCGTTCAAAATACTTTTTACATTCTTCTGTGCTTGTAAAGGTCAAGCCTTAAGACAGATAGAGATAGATTAGTCTAGTACTAATGATAAGATTTAGCTTAACATGATATACATCTATCCAAATTTAAGATTTATTTCAGTTCATATAATACTATATAAATAAGATTACTTTCATTAATTAATAGAAAAGTAAATTATATTTGCGTAATTTTGCTCATTTATAGCAGTGAGTTTGTAAAGTTTACGTGATAGGAAATTTATTGAATTGTTGGTAGTTACGTGAGAAAGAGCAATTTTAATGAATTTATTTTTGCAACAACAAATATGAAAAATACTAATAGTGCTGTGATAAATGAGACTGTTTTCATTAAATAAAAAAGATGATGCATTTTATTAAAAGTATTACTCACTTATATATGCTAATTTTTTCTAATTAATTAATTTATTAGTAATAATCTCGTTAATTTTGTTAATTATCATTAACTAATTACAATTATAGTTTTGCGTAAATAAATATATCGCCTAAATACAATAACGTAAGTAAGAAGTTCAATCAATTAAAGCTAAAATCATCTTCTAGACATTACGCTATCAGCTGAATATAGTAATAATATAAGAATGCAAAAAACACAAGTAATTGTTTGTTTAATATACGGAAATCACTTGAAGAAACTTTTCTGCTTCAGCAGAGGGTCAGATTCAAATTTAAAAAACAGAAACCGTCAGTAAGATGAAAGCTTGCCTTCTGTTATTGACTGAATCACTTAAATTTATCAACTTAATCACTGATAAGAGGTGCTTGAACTTTGCCATCACATCAGGATCAAAAAGATACAAGCACTGATAGCTTTTTGATCATAGCGACGTCATTCATATCGTCACTTATAGTGTCATTTATTATGCTTTTCTTGCACGTGAAAAAGATTCATTCAAATATTTATCCAAATAGTTCTTCTTACGCACAAATTGCAATATTTTTTTTCCACGTGTAAGTAATTCTCTAACTATAAACTATTAGTTTATCTATTCATGGAAAAGTTTCGTACTAAGCCATGCATTTTGTTCGCGTAAGTACCACAATATTAATCAGTCATTCAGTTTTTAATTTTATTTTCAATTATTCCAAAAATTTTTTCCACGTGTAAATAATTCTCCGTATTATTGCTAATTTGATATTATTCGATTATTTTTTGACTGATATATCTTTACTGATACTTAAAAATTAATTAGTTAGTAAGACTGAATTAACTTGCAAATCTTTTAGCTATTTGCTAATTTATTTTTAACTCTAACCTAAATGTGATTAAAAAATTTGAAAAGTCAAAAACTTAAATACTTGCATTATCGGAAATGGAATAGACGAATGAATCAATCAATCGCATTTGATAACAACTTTTATGCTAACATTTTATGCGTCATTTTTCGCATGGCAAAAAAGCAACAACAAAAAAAGAGACTTAGCCACACTTCAAAAGGAACACCGCAGCAGTAGGAAAGTAAGTATACTTCTACACATATATCTGCTCGTCAGATTAGCACACTTTACCGTAAGCATTTTCCACTTTACTCCTTTCAACTAAGTAAATAAGTCAAGTAGAAGTTAAGTAAGTAGGTAAGTAAGTAAGTAAGCAAGGGAATAAGTATATCAATCAGATCAAAAATGCAAAAATCTCTCACTTCATAGGATTTAATAAACTGATACATCAATAAGTTCTGAATGATTACATTAATAATTAGTAATTAAGAGTAGAGCTAAGATGTCTTAGCACAGAAAAGCACTGTACACATAAGATATCTGACAGATTAAGTGATAAATTCAAATTAACAATTTGTTAGTAATTATTAAATTTAAATGTAATTTGTTTTTTTTTGTTTTAAAGATATAAAGTTTTGAATTTTATCTCTAATATTTGAGAAAATGACATTATCGTCTAGCAAAGAATTATTGTTTTTTGCATGATAATCAGTTACTTGAATAAATGCTAAATTATTTGCACGATCATCAAATAGATACACATTTTGCTAGCAGATCTAAATATGAAACAGTTGAGAAAGAAGTACTTGAACGGCCTAACCTTTATTATCAATGAAAGGTCAAGCGACAACTAATGTTGACATTGGGAAGTAATGAATATTGAATTACTGTTAGAGCCAAAACATATCCAAATACGTTTTCAAAAAAAGAAATATACAAACTAAGCAATGATTTCACGACTGAAAAGTGTGAAATTTGTTGTATTAATTATACCAGTGCTTCAAAAGTTAAGTCCGAGAATTTTGTAAGCTTTTGCTAGATATAATAAAATGTCGCAGTCTTACTCTTATTGTTACGGTACTACGAATGACATAGAAAATTCAAGTTGTACTGTAATTAATTATGAATTTCGATAGCAGTATTTGAAGTATCAATCAGCAAGAAAAA